AATAGACTCCACCACCTCTGGAAAGATTTCTCGGGCAATCATAGGATTTTGCTTCGCATCTTCGTAAAGAGCCTCGATGTCAGCCTCATCGGCTTCTTCTAGACACCACAACAGTAAGTCGTCTTCTTCTGCATCAACACCTAGCCTCGCCAAAGCAGCTAACGCAATCTGCTCCGAATAACCATCATCTGCAGCTGCATTCAAGAAACTTTGAATCTTCGATGTTTCCTTTGGCTTCGGTTTCTTGACAGATGCAGTTTGTACTTGACACGTGCTGGTTGCTGTTGAGGAACTCGTGCCCACGTAGTTGTTGTTGTCAAACATTGTCCTACGAGTCACCATTTCGTCGTCTGAAGGAACGTGAGTGAACGAAGGTAGCTCCGCTGCTCCTCTGGCGTTCTCGAGTAATTTTGTGGCCTTAAAAGCACGCTCTATTGCTGATTTTAACTGTTCGCTGGTCAAACTGGGACGAACACTTTCCAGCAAAGTGAGTACTTGAATGTTGCTCATAGCGAGGTTGTTACTGTGGCAAACTGTGGCGATTTCTTTTCTCAGTGTCATCAATTGCTGCGTGGTGAAGAAGTTCAATTCTCTATACTCCTTCCTTGCATCACTGACCTTCTTCTTCCAATTCTTGTAACACGTTTCCATGAGGGAGCTTTCCTCATTCAATTCCTCCGCGATAGACTCGCCCGCAACTTGATCTTTGCTACAGTGATATTCTTGGCTCCAATTCATACGATGAATGTAACCAGATTCAAAGAGGTCGATGTATGCAGTTGCTAAACGCATGACACCTTCAAGATTCTATAATTCGATAGAAATATTTTAGTTTGTCAGTATTAGACAACAACTTCAACGGATAACTGTCCACATAATTATTGTATTTTCATTACCCTAACGAACTGCTCCACATCATCCTTCCCTTTTTCAGCCTTTCCTGCGATCAACATTAGTTTACTCTGCAAATCCTTTAGTTCGTCAATAGAATAAGTTTTTCTCTGTTCCTTTTCACTTCGATCTTTAAGGGGAACCGTCAGTCGGATAACATCTTTGAATGAAAATCGTTTTCCTTGTTCTGGTGACAGACCCTTTTCGTTATCCAAATGGCCCACAAGATATACACCACTGGAGTTGATCGTCTTAGCCTGCACTAATGACGTCATAGCAACCGAGCCATGAGACTCTTTAACAGTTTTTAGCCACTCCAGATGTCTGCTAGTGTCGTACTACGAGAAACATAGAAGTCGTGGATCAATCAAGTATTTGGTACCTTTTGTTTGCTGTTGTCATGACAATGAGTTCAAAGCAATGGACAATACGGATAAAAATTACAAAAACACTCGATTTCATGACTGTAAAGTAGATAAAGGTATTCCAGATTTGGTGAAACATGATCAGAAAAAGTTAAAAGACGTAAAGGCACACAAGACGCTTTGATACAAAGCATTCAAATCATTCAAGAAATCCCGATATTTTTTACCAGTTTTTTGGGTAACATCTGATCCGTCTCGACTGCTTTCCATACAGGATCACAGGCGTTCATCAGTTGATCAAAGCTCACTTTTTGTTCTTCACTCTCTTTGACGTCAAATATCAGAGGAGCAAAACCTAGGCAGCTGGTATGCAGACTGGATATACGATCAGTTTCCATATCGCTTTCACCAGCAGAGATCAAGGCCAGGTCAACAAGAACCTTTAGCTCTTGGGTGGCTGTTAAACAAAAGACACTTAAAGGCGTTCATTTTTATTTCTATAGAGAAACACCGATGCGAGTAATTATTGTAATATCCACCATAGCAGCTGAATGAATTGCAAACCAAAAAAATTACTTTACCTTTGTCCGACGCGCGGAAAGATTAAAATTTCGCGCACCGCGCAATGCATACGCGCGAGGAAGTGCTGCCCGGATAGCGGAAAGAAACTTCGTATTATAGAAGAGTTCCGTCAAACCTTATAGCAGATAAATAGAACCCTTACAGGCACTTCTTTAGTTGTTTCCCTCCCGTTTCTTCAATTTTTGAGAACTTCGTCTTTTCGTTGAAATCATGTAGCAAAACAATTGCCTCTTTCATTTTGCTTATTGCAAATGTACTGTCTGCTATTCAGTTTTCGTAAAAAGGCATGTTTTATTTAAATATTTCGGTTTTCGTAATAAGGCATGTTTTATGTAAATTTCACCTTAAAATTTGAAATTGGAACGATAAACAAAGTTACAGCTGAATAGGATAATTTGGTTTTAATCAACTGAGAAGATAACGTAAATTTACCGCCGTTAAGAGTTTCAAAGCTGACGTTTCGAGTGTTAGGCTTTCGTCATTTGCTCTGACGAAGGGTAACGCTCGAAATGTCAGCTTTGAAACTCTTTACGGGGGCTAATTTATATCATCAACTCAGATGATGAAACCAAATTAACTTGTTATTCAATCCCACCAACGCATCACCACAGTTTCTTTAGAAACTTACCCTATTTATTTACTGCTAAATACGCTTAGATCAGTTGTTTACCATATTTGTGTTCTTGACATGGTCCCCTCGATTACTTATAACATTTCCTCTTGCAGAAACTGCAGCTTTCTTTTTGGGTGGTCGGAAGTGAATATAATTCGTCTAATCACCTAAGAGCAAGCCAATCATGCAGCGCGGGTGAAAAAGTGTTAATCACTTTTGTGGTGAGGCAAGCTAACAAAATCAGGGGAACAACCTGGAGATCAGGGAGGTTAATAGCGATAAGGTTAGTGTTTTCGTTCATTACTGTACATCCGTTCGACCACCTGCCCCAACTTACATTTGATGGTAGAACGTAGCCACTCCACCAGCCGTCTACTGTCTACCACTGCTTTGAAGCACCGAGCCTTATCAACATCCAAACATTGAAGAGCTTGACCGGCCTTTGAAAAGCTTTCCCCGACGCTGGTTAAGGGCTTCTGCTTGAACTCTTCTGATAGCTACAAACCAAAATATTGGAAAATTAAACAAGTTTTTACCACATATTTAAGTGAGGTGTACTTATCGTTTGCAGCCAATAGTTTTCCTTTCCAAAGCATTTGTCCGTATTACAGGTTCTCCGAAATGATTCTCTTGAATCAAACTTAAATCCTTGACAACAGTTAAACGAAGTGTCCTTAATTTTGGTTAAAATGGACAGAAAGAACTCGTTTCTGGTCAAGCACAGTCCTTTTCATCACGATGTAGTCACTTCCGATGTGGTTTGCGACATTTCGACTCCATACTCTGGTCTTCTTCAGCTGCTTAAAGACTGGCAATTCTAGCGCCTGAAAAAGACTTTCTGGTCCACATCGGGAGTGCCCACACCGTGAGACAAACGCACATAATTCACTACAAATGTATTCACCACGATGAATAACCACATCCCATTTTAAAACAAATACTTGTGTTTACTTTCCAAATTTACTCAGTATCGTCATAACTCAATAAAGACTACGAGACCTGATTACGTAGATCTTCGATAACTTTGAAGTCCCCGGTAAAACCCATTGCCTCCTTAAACTCCCAGACGGTGTCAGCTGCACTGGAGTACTGATGAAGATGTTGGTAACGTTGAATTTGAGCAAGTCGCTCTTCAACAATTTTCTTTAGTTCTCTGGCGTTGCTGACAGTTTGGCCGGCGTTCACTTTAAACATGTAGAATAACTCTCCCTCGAGTTCCTTTTCGCGGTTTTTGTAGCTGTCAAATAGCCTGTCAACATTTCCAAGAGAAATTGTGCCATCCTTGACACTAGCAACATTTTGGGTCCAGCTTGTAATAGCTGGTTTCCAAACATTTTCAACAACATCACAAATACTGAGCTGTCTTTTGCGTGTATCATCATTTTCCCTGGCTCTTTGCGCCTTATTCCCATATTTTTCCCAAAGTTTTTGGAACGTTAAGCTTTCTTGGACTCTTCCAAGTGTGGAAAGTACCTCCTTTAAGGCCGGAGGAAGTTTAAAGAAAGTGACTTCGATTTGGTTGTCGTCTTCCCGTTTGCACAAGCCTCGAATCTGGAAAGATGAAACATCCTGAGGCACTTTATTCCTGAGGTTGGTTGAATCGACTGCGGAAAAAATATTACTTTCAATAATAGGACGGACAACTCTAAAGTCACAAACTAACCCACGATCAGGGCGTGAACCATCCACTGGAAGCCTTTCCTTGTTTTTTTTTCAAGTCCGCTACCCTCTTAATAAAAATGCCAAAACAGATCTAAGGAGGACCTCCTTGACGCTAAGGTTGAAGACAAACAGGTGGTGAACAAAACAAACGGGGAAAAAATGGATGTCTCAAAATCTCTCACCTGGCTGGATCACATCACACATTCCAATAAATGTGCCCAAATTTTTTTTCATTTCCAAAAATTCCTGGATTTCTTCTAATCGGTGATCCAGGCTAATTTCAGCATCTTTGATCTCTGCAGCACTCGTCTTCAAGAGCTCCAAAAACGTTTCCTTGTGCCTTTGAAGAAGGAGCAACACTTGAAATGTTACTGAGCCATCTGATATGACTCTAAAAAGAGCATCTAATAAGGATTTGGCCAAAAATAAGGTCTCCTTACAATCATCCGAAAGTATACCACCCCTTCCAGACTCATCTCCTGCAAGACAGAAATAATTAAAATTTTTTCCAATCAATAAGGCCACAAAGTATTAAATTCCTAAAATTTGACCTTGTTGAGAAATATTTTTCATTAGTCTACATCTTATGTTTCACGTCTCCGTAATAACAAGCGTTTCGCCCTTATCAATAAAATTTTATGGAAAACACTTTACCCAAAACTTGAGGATTACTGGTGAACTTGAGGTATCCAGTCATTGGCTTCCAGGTGAGAAGAAATTCCACCCTTAGAGGGTCCAATTCACGTGTGTCTGATTGCTCTCCACCTTTTGGCCACGACTGTGTCAGAAAAATGGACAAAAGCTGCCCGGATTTTTCTGCTTTTGAATTTGACAGGTGGTTAAAAATACGTATGTCGTCTCCACTTCTTGCTGACTACATAAAAAACGAAAAGAAAAGAATATTCATCAATGTCAAGTGCGAAATCACTAAACCTCAGTCTAATATTTACCCTAAATATTTTAAAATAGAATGTTCAATAAATTATTATCGGGTCTATAATCAGGTATCGCAATATTCTTTAAGAGAAACTAACAGTTGAATTTTAGACCGTCCACTACACCTACAATTCCTTATTGTCCTAATTTATAGAAAGTTTCAAACTTCTTGGTAGTGTGTTTCACTTTGCATATCAACTTTAGGTTTTTCCTGTTTGAATTCTTCGAGTAGTAGCCGCTAACAAATAATCAACAATCTCGATGGAAGTAAGAACTGAAACCGGGTGTTCAAAGAGCACCTGTGAAAAAGTTAGGCCATCCCTAAATTATGTGCTCTTAAAGCAATCAGTTATGGTCTACTTTTGAAAAACCGCGCTTTCAGTACACCACAGAAGACACTATCTAGTCTAGTCATTTGCAACTTACGCTAATAATCTTTTCCACTGCTTCAAAGGCAAGGTTAGAAAAAGATTCTCCAACAGCTCTTTCATATGCATCCATTTCTACTTCGCAAAAAATTTCAACCAAATACGCCCCTTCCAACTGAAAAAAAAATAAAGGAAACCCATAACAAGAGGAAAGGAGGTGAATAATGTAACAAGACTGGGATTGGGTTCCGCCTGGAAATTTTAACCCCAGTCATTTCTGATTTCGCGACAGAATGCCACACAGAACTTGAGGTGGGCCTAGCGTAGTTCGAGAGTGACAAGCAAGGTGAATGCCGCCAGGATTAGCATTTATGAACGTTGGAAGCTTACTGTATGGGAGGCTAAACGTCAATTGAGCTAAACGTCAAATGTCGCGGGCGTAGGAGTCAGAGGAATTAGACTGACCTCTACATATCCAACATCAGAAGCAAACCACTGACAAAAACCTCACCAGCAGTCTATCGAATTGCACTTAGCGTTAGAAGTGAGGCTAATGGTTGTTCTCTCCTCCTTAAGCGGATAAATATGCAGTTACTTTTTACAAATCGTTACTCAAATCGTTTCCATCTTACCTTTCTTGCTCGACTCAGCAGCTCATTTATCAAAAACTTCCTATAAGTAGTAAATCCTTGATTTTCATCCGCAACCGAAAGCAACTCGCTCCATAACTGAAACAAAAGTAAGAAAAACAGTTTGAGAGAATACCTAGCGAATCAGTTAATCATAACATGCCTGAATGATCCATTAAAAGGTCCTTTCAAGAAGATAACCACCCAATCTGAAACAAATTGTTAGTAATAAACTTATTTAAGTTACATGTAAGAACACGTTATTATATTAATCTTATTTGCTTCATACCGTAAGTTCTCTGGCTAGATGTTCACTCTTGTGATGATAAGACATAGTGTAAGAGAGATTACGTGACAAGCTGTCTCTCAGGCTCCTTAGTAGCCTGTCGATAGTTTTTCTCTCGTTTAACTGGCCCTTTTCTTGGTCAGGCTTCTCTTCCAATTCCCGTCGCTGCTTTCTAATACATGTAAAAAGCAGCTTGATTGTATGGCAGATCAGTTCCACGTGATCCCAAATCTTCAACTTTTTTAGGAAGACTTCAACCAGTTGTAGACACAATGAAACTGTAAACTCAACCTTTTTAAGGTCAGTGCTGTGGATTAAATAGATTCTTTAGCTTCTCTTACGTAGCATGAGATATCGTAGAGAAAATTAAAAAACCACAAGTAAACATACGGAAACCTACGTTTAAAAATCTTATTTTATTTGCTTCAGACTTGTCCTTCTCCACTTCAGAATTCTCATCCCAAAAGGATCTTCACTTTTTTGCTCGACTAGTTCACCAGTTTTCAAAGCACATGATACACTTGAAAACAAATATTTTTTGTCCCAATCATTCCTCCATTCCCCAACCCGACCAACAACCATGCTATGGCCAGCACCCCAAAACTTCAGTATTTTTTAAAATATAAACATGGTTTTAAGGTGCGACTAATTTATTTAGCAGTACAGCATGGTCGATGGGCTACAAGGAAACTGAGGTCTTATTGTAGTTTAAACATACCAAGTTGATTCTTTTTCCCAGTTATACTGAATAATCATCAGTCTTATACACTGAAAAACATCTGCCCACTGCAAAAAAAAAAAAGAACTTAACGTTAACATCTAAACATTAAACAACCGATTTTATCACCTTCCGAACGATAAAGTGCCCCTCAAAGTACATTGCTAGAAATGATGAGCAAATACAGTATTAAAAGAATATTCCCGAATTATGAAATAATATTCTATTGACCTTTTAGTAACAATTTCTTACCTTGGTTGATGGCACGTATTCACGGGAACAGCATGTTACTAGGGCCACCAAAATGTCGAAAATTTGGAACAATTTTGAAGCAACAACCTTGTTTAGTTCCCCAACAGGAATAGCGTGGAGAAATGTCCTTTTTAGTAAAAGATCGACCTCAAAGGCTGAACCAAGTCTGGACAACAGTTCTGGCAAATTTCTACGATAAAAACATGCTGAAACTATTAAGGTCGAACGTGATATTTTTTCTAGGATAGTTTTTCAACATGGTCTCCCTTTGAATACTAATAAGCAGTTTAGTACAAAAAAATACATCTAAAATATGTTCAGAATAGTAGCAGGCAGGACTTTTAGCCCTTCCTCGTGTAAGGGACAACAACCAATATTCGCTGATAGGTCCAACGCCTCAGCGTAAAGAAGTGGAATTTCCATGAAAAACCTACCACACATCAACAAGCTTTCCCTGGCACACTCTTAAGCTGAATGAAATATACTTTCGCTTTACTAATCTTCTATGGCATGGGGGTTTGCAGCTTGGTGATTCAAGGTTTATAAAGAAAAAAGCAAATGAAAGAATATTTTCTCTCAAAATACATGGCAAATGCTTATGTGACAATGGCGACGAATGAACCGAGACGCTATGACGTACGATTAAAGAGTTCAAAGAGCAGTTAAAACTCTCGCGACAGTTTCTGATTCAACTTTCAATTGTCTTTACTTACAAGTTTTCAGCTGATCTTTGAAATTCTTTTATTTTCAGTCCCTGAGCTCCAACCCAATCAAGTTTGTGGTACGATCCTTCAATACCAGGTTCTTCAAATGGCTTAGAATCTCCCCTCAAGAAATGTAACAGCGGTACAGCAAGTAGCCACGTGTCAGCTTCTGATTTCCAATGTTCCGCCATAATTTGGTTACACAGTTCCTCAATCCCTATAGCAGCGCGTCTACAACAGAACGAAATAGTCAAAGACCATACAAGCGATTGCAAAAATTTTTTATCCTTTAAAAGTACGATCCATGAACGATGAGACGAAAGATTTAAGGGAAATGTTTGCACTGTTACATAATCAGTGCTTTACTTTCTCCATTATTCATGGAAAATCTTTCCATATGATAATCCACGAAAGCGTGGATGGTGGCTTTCATTGACCATGTGCAATTAATTGTGCTTATCATTTAGATGTGTGCCCGAAAGGCAGTTGGTTCTTATCATCCACTTTTAATGCTTATAGGTGTCAACGTTTTTACAATGAGTATATACCGTGAAACAAAGCACAAAGTTCCGAAATGATGTGCCTCATATTAACTGAAATCAGTAACAAGGTAGTTGCTCTTTTGTTAGTCCTCAGGTGCACATGATCTCTCACTATTTAGTTTGGCAAACTAAATAGTGTCAGAAAAGACACTAAAATCTAAACTTTTGCTAAAGCCCCTTTCCCCTATTAGTTGATAATTTAATGTTCACAAGTAAAGAATATCCTTCTTTGTTTTTTTGTTTAATGAAAACGAGCCTCATCTTTTGTTATACAGAACCATTAAAAAGATCATAAAACCTTCACTATTGCTCAGGGTTAGGGTTACAGACATATGAAATTTTCATCCTTTAAAACCCACCCTTCCACTGAACAGAACTAGGTCTATCGACTCCGCTCATTAAAGACCCTGATGAGCAGAGCAGGTAATTTAGTGTTAACAACTGAGTTGAAAACGTAAATTAGCCACCGTAAAGGGTAAAAAAGCTGACGTTTCGAGCGTTAGCCCTTCGTCAGAGCGATGAGCAGAGTCTTATACTAACGGCTACGCCTACATATCGATGAAACAACCAGTCCTAAATAATAAGCTAGTTACTTTCAAATAAAGTTTTAGATCCTTATTCTCATTAGATGTTGTTGTTGTTGTTGGTCATTTTTACCGTTTTATCTATCACTGCATTTATGATGTTTTTGCGGTTCCTACTGTTGCTGTGATGGCCGTTGCTGTTGTTTTAGTATGCAACCACTTACTTTCTCAGTCCTCCACTGAAATTTTCCAGAACTGCTTCATAAAGCGCGCATTTTTGCCTTCCTGGATCTGCTGCCAGCGATAAACATCTCAAAAGTGACAACACAAGTTCCCTCCGAAGCCTTATTTTGTACTGTTTGAAGATCAGAACAATCGCTAAGGATGACACCAATGCTGAAGCTCGAGCTTCTACTCGCACGTCACTCTGGGCTGTAGTAGTTGCATTTTCCTTCATTTTTGGCTCCAAGTGGTCCATTAAAACCTAAAAAAAAAAAAGAAAACATGCATCAGCTTGCACAACGTCATTATCTGAGGATCTTGTTTATGATACAAAAAGCCACCATGCAAAATATCGCCCCTTCCATTCATTTTACACCGGTTCAATGAAAATTTTGTTTTGAAATGTCAGACAAATTCGTCCACCTGACCCTTAAAGATGTTTTTAAGGTTTTAATTTAGGAGATCTCAGGCTTGTGTGGAGAAGTTTTGGATGTGAACGGTTCGTCTGAGAGAATAATGAACTCTAATTATATTTCTTTATACAGTTTACCTTGTCAATATTGAAATCTGGTGGTTTCCTTCTCTCAGGTTTTTCGCTTGAAAACTGAATGCAAACGTTGGTAAGGCAATCTACGACTTTGTCCAACTTCACAATTGCTTCTGTTGCCTTCATTTTTTCCTCGCACTTACCAACAACAAAGCCTCTCCACTTTGGTAAGCAGGCGAGAAGTGCAGTTGTGCGATTTTGCGCTGTTTGTTCAGACCGAAACCATCCTTTAAATGAGTCCCACCAGCCCTTCTCAGTGTAAATGTAACTTACTCCGTCGAACTGGTGCCATGTTGCTAAACCGTAAAAAAAGGAAAAAAATCCACATTCATTCATAACAGGTCAGAGGCAATAGAATTTCAACGACCAACAGGTTTTTGTCAATGTATATTTCCCCGGATTCGCTAATCCTTATAATTTTTTGTGTTTGATGGGAAGCTAGTCCGCGTAAATTCATTTCTATAGAATCTCCCTTTGCGCAATATATGCAGAAGTTAGAAGTGTAAAGAAAAGTGTAACTAATCTAGAGCACAATCAAACCATGCCTACATTCAAGTTGTATGTTAACGGTTTTGATAGAAGGGCCCTAAAAGCATTATTTGCATTATTTTCTTTCATTTAATGCAATATTGGTAAGTTGAAGACAATTGGAAATAGCAGGGGCTAATTTTGAATGTACAATTTAATTGCTGAGAAATTGCTTGCGGGGAAATGGATTTTACTTCGAAATAGTAGACTAATATTTAATGTAAAAATTGTAAGGTTTAAGCGTAATAGTTATAATTTAGGTATGGAATTCTCTGATTTAAGATAACTGCTCAGAAAACATGTATTTTCTACATGAGACAGACAGTCCTCTTTTGTGGGGTTAATGGGCATTGCCTGGGATCATAAATTGTTGCTCCATTGACATGAAGACCAAAACTTAATAAGGCATCACAGAAACTTTGGGGAAATTAAGTACCAGCTTTTGGCTAAAGAATCTGTGGAATGCTCGGGGTAACCAATGCTAGTTATGATAAGTCAATGAAGTGTTAATTTAAGTTTATCATAGTTTATTACACAAAAAAGTCGGTTTTTTTAAAAGAGAAATTTAATAAATGTAGCATTACGATTAAACTTCTAGGAAAGCAAAAACGAGGTAATTTAACTCCTTAGAAAATTAGTAAACTTGCCAAAGCTTGTCAATTAGTAAGTATGTATTTCCACTTAACATTGTTTGTTTAAAAGCATTGCATTGAGAGATTTGATGGGTTTGATGGGTAATATGAGATGGTTTTATTAACGACTGACGGTAAAAACGGTGAAAAAAATGGCACTTTCGACCGTTGACGGCTATAATTCGGGCCATTTGACGGATAATCCCACAAAGACCCTGTTTTTAAAACGCTACTCACGGAATATCGGTTACAAATCCCCTTGTTCGTCTAGCTAAATGTCCGAGACATTTTGTAACAATCCTGTTAGAACATATAGAGCAAAATAAAAGCGACAACTTACCGCCACGTTCCAGGTATTTTTCTGGTATAGAGAGAAATCGATCGACTATGGCTCCACCATAACGTGATTTAAACTCTATCAGTTCTTCCCATAGAACAACCTTTTTCTTGATTATCACATACTTGTACTTGGTTCCCTTCCGAGCTAGGTCAATGGTGAGAGTGAACTGTCCTTGGAAGAGCTTAGGCTCCTTTCTGTCTTTGCCTTTGTCACCCCTAAGAGATTAAGTAGACTGGTATTGACACAGCCTATTGCCACAATGGGGGTATGAATTCTATGTTCGAGTTCTGTTCATAAATGCATTCTTAACTCGTTTGCTGCGCCTCAAACAGCAGATGAGGCAACATCGTATCCCGACTTTCATAAATGTTGATTATTTATCGCAGTTAGAGACATGTCGTTCGAAAACTCCGGGATTCCTACTATGATCAGCAAAAATCAGAATTTCCACACATCGAACTGTAAAGACAAAGCAAGCTTATTTCTCAATACAGCTATATTCCTTTTCAGGAGGTCTTAAATAAGCATGAAAAAAAATTGGCAGTTTTTTTGCATGTGGCTCCTGATTTAGCACAATATTCAAAGCATTGAAAAGAACTCGAGCTAGAAGGTATTATAACGTAGCTAGTAAATTTGTCTGATCAAATTCAATTGCGTGAACGTGCTTCATATTCCTGTTGTGCACGCTCATGACGTCAGCAAACAAATCCCTCGAGAAAAAAAATTTTCTCGGCGATTTTTTACTTTGGGATTTTACTATTAAAAAACTGCTTAACACTTCGGCGGCAATTTAAGCTAAACATGGAAAGTTGTGAGCCAGCTGATGAGGAAGAACTGCCCACTTTTTCTTTGGGAGTGGAGTTTTAACTCCCCAAAAAGAACGAAAAGAAGATAAGATTTTAGATAAGAGAATTTTGTATTCAATCAGAAAATAAAGTTCATTTACATGCATGAATTCACCAGTCAGTTTTTTGACCAATCTAAGACAAGATCGTTTACAGCGTAGCGAAATGTTTTCCTGAAACAAAATTATCAACCCACTGAAGCGTAACAGAGGGAATATTAACCCTTTTACAACATTTAAACCATCGGGTTGAAAATGTTAGAATACAATTGGTTCATACGTCAGCTGTGCGTTCATCGAGATATGAAGTACTTGGGAAGTTTGGAGAGCACTCAAGAAACTAGAGTTGCTCTCGACTACGCCTCGAGCAACTCTTACGCATTTTTCGTGCTCTCCAAACTTCCTACGTGCTTCATGTCTCAATGAACGTACGCTGACGTATGAACCAATTGTTAAGAGTTGCAGAAGACATGTCCCACATACAAAACAGAAACCTGCCGCATCCTACATAGTTATGGGTACCCTGTACCCCAAGACAAAGATGATTCAAGAATACAGTAAATAATTGACACTCAACCAATGATTAAATGGTAACAAATAATCATATTAACACTAATAATGAAAAATGGTAAAATGCTCTCTCTTCGAAGAAATAAAATTTTTCTTCAAAGTTTTTACGATGTGCAGATGAAACCTATATTTAGATGTTTCTGCAGGGAAAAGTCTCATTTTCAAGTACATGCCAGAGACGCTACTGTCAAATTATTTTGAGACGTTTATAATCTTTTGTAGTGTCACAGCAAGAACTGAAAAAAAATATACCTTCGGATCTACTGGGCATAATTCACTAATTCAAACGGTAACAAACTCTCTCCTCTAAGAAAATATTTTTCCTCTAATTTTTCACGATCCGCCGATCACACCTTTTAAAGCATTTCTGCAAGGTAAAGCTTTGTCCTGAAATGACTGTAAGACGTTTATCGTTTTTTTTAGTACTGCGGTAGAAAAAATAAGTAGCACCGGGAAAAAGTGTTATCACGTGCTAATTCCGAGTAATATCCTAAGCGATTCAAAGAAATCGTTCCCATGTGTTGAACGCCCGAAGATGTGCTTAAATAAACAAAAACAAAGAGCGAGGAATATCGGGTAAAACTCGACAGACTTCGCTGTGGGCGAAGAGGTTGTTTGTATTCTATTGTTATACTCACTCACTCAACAGGACAACATTACGGCTTCACCTGCATAAGAGGCAGTAGCCATAAAAATTAGTCATAATAGCACACTCGTCTGATGAAACCGGTAACAAATGACGAAGTAAAAAAAAAAAAAAAAGAATACACCGCAACAACCAGATCAAGGCTCGAACCGAGATCTGTTGACGCGGAGTCCCCGCGATAGCCACTGAACCCTTGTTTCTTTATAAAAGAGGACGCTGAGGTAAGAGTTAATTTGACAACTTACAGGTTTTTTTCACATCTTTGTTAATTCTCTATAGCACGGGAAAAACACGTAAATTTCATGTAGGTGTACTTGGCTAATCTCAAGCTTGCAAAATTCGTGGAGTTTACCCACCTGTATTTACAAAACCAAACTAACCTTACTAATTTCATATCAACACAGTTTATCTCAAAGGATCCCAAATCTTCTCCTTCTGCTCGAATATGCACATTTTCTTCTTCCACGTTTAAGTTAGACGCTAATACGACATGGAAGATTACGGTGACTCCATTCTCTGGTTCAACCAGTTTCAAGGTGTTGGCGGCGCCCTTCAAATGAAGTGTGATCGAAAGATACAGCTTTAGTGAGAACTTGACGTCAAGATAAAAAATCGTCTTTTGTAATGAAAAAAATGCCCTTAAGCTGGTTGAACACTTTCCATGTAGGAGATCATCTTAATTCTATTCTTATTTATTCGCATTGTTCATTCTTACGGTATTCGACGCCTTTTTTCGCATGAGAATTCAACTTGCGTTTGTTTTGTGCAAAGGATTGCTTCATCCATCCATAAAAACACTAGCTGGAATTTCTTTTTATTTAGCTTTTTTTACTTATTTGTCCCCTCCACACCTTACCTTAGCACCTTCTTTACCATCACCAGTGTTTCCTGTATCATTGAAAGGATCTCTCGAACCAAGTTCTTTTCTTTCGGCACCACTCTTGACCTGAGTGGGGCTCCCAACTTTTCCCCTACTCAAAATTTGGGTTCCATTGTTGGAAATCTTTGAGGCTTTTCTCCCCTGTACCTGTGCTTGTTCAAAAAAATATTAAGCTAAACCAATCTCTCCAAAGCTTTGAAATTCAATTCTCCTAATTAAAGTAATAAATTTCTAAATATTTCCAGGTTGATAACATCTTCATTCTCATTACCTGTCTGCGTAAAATGATTTCATGCGAATTTACACTTATGTACATAGTTATACATCGTAAGCATCTCGACAAAAGATAGTTAACAATCACTAAAACCGTCTCACGATCACTGCCAAAACATTTCGAGCTGAGTCGTGATAATCCACTAGCTTTGGAAACTGTAATAACTTAAGAACTAAGCCGAGAAGACTTCTTATTCCTTTCATTTCCGACTCTGGCAGCCCCTCTTGAGCAAACAACAATAGAAGGAATATCAACAGTAACTACCCAATATTCCAGCTTACGGGCCTCTCAATTGGTACGTTACATTTCAATTTATGACGAGAAATATATTCTTTCATTCACAGCCTTTGCTCAAAATTAAACATTGTGAAGAACAAAACAAACTTGTAATTTGCAATGAGCTCTTAAGTTAGACAGAACTTTGCATTCTTAGAGAGGAGGAGGGTTGGATAATTTTGCTCAGTCAAAGCCCAAACTTTCTTCGTTGAAAGACACTTATTTTGCGGTAACTCATCCTGAATGTACTTTATTTCTGCCCAATGCTCTTGAAACGTGAGATAAAAGGGATCCGTCCTATACAAAATCATCTCCTCCAAACTCCACTTAAGCACTTTTTTTGCCATTACTTACGTTCCCTGTGCCTTCAAGTGGATCTTTTGAGACAGGTTCTCTTCCTCCAGAAGGTGATCTAACATGAGTGTCAGTTTCGACTTTATCGCCTTTAAATTGTTCAGTTCTACTCTTGGACGACTGTGAACTTTGACTTGAAGTCTTTTCACCTTTTTTACCTTGTACCTATGAAAAATTAGAAAACATAGCATAAAAACTCTTAGTCAAAAAGTACAAAGATAATTTCTTTCAGACAGTAAGGTATGGACATAGTAGGAAAATAGTAATCAAGATTCTTCAATGGTGTAATGGAAAAGTTTCTAAAACCGCAGGAAAAAGGTTGTTTCATATCGTAGTAGCAAGCTTAGCAAACAATTTAACATTTCCTACCTCAGCGGACTTGGTTCCGGCACCTTTTTGAGATTTTGAATTGAACGGGGGTTGCACCTTAGGTTTCTGAGAATTTTCAGTGACGTTCTCGCTAGAAGTAGATTGCTTAGACGGTGTAAGGCGACGGTTCTTGCCAGTCCACGCTCCGTCAGCTTTCTTATCTGCTTCCTTCTCGTTACCCGTTTGTTTCTGGTTGGCTGAGGTCATCTGGCCATGATTTGATGATTTCTTTGACTGTCTGACTTCTTTCTTTGTGTCATTAACTCCATCATAACTTCCGGTCTGATCAGTATCAACGTCACCTTGACCAAGTTCTGCTGGGCTTCTCACGCTTTCACCACCAGAGATGTCATCTTTCTTGAAATTTTGACTGTCATGTCTCTCAGTAGATCCTTTATTTAAACCAACATTATCGACAAAATCCGGCTGCTTTCCACGCTGTGTTGCTGCTGACTTTGTATTACCTGGTTTATCCTCTGAACCCGACGATTCTTTACTGTAAGGGGTGGAAGCGCCGGCTCGATGGGGCAGACCTCTGTCTCTCACAGTAGGCAAGGTTGTCGGCGACGGGGAGGTTGGTGGGAAGTTCGCCGAATGACGATGGCTTTCCAGTGACTTACTCTCGCTCTCTGTTGACCGATCAACTAAGGTGGAACCACCCTCGATGTCTGGCTGACCCGAGTGAATCGTAGGCTGTGTTTGTTGTCTTAACAAGGTCCCATGCTCATCTCTGTATGAAAGCAGGCACTGCTGATTTTGCCCATCACCTTAGTGTAAGGAAAACCAAAAAATTCCTCATTTGGAAAATAAGATTTAAAAACATTTCTGACCAGAAGATGGTTTCTTGAGGAAAATGGCTTTTGTCCTTCATGTATTAAACTGCCAAAATAACTAACTCTACAAGATTTTTCCCAAAAACAACGATTCACAAACAAACCTAAATGGGATTTAGTTTTCAGAGGACTCACTAGAGATAAGGGACTTCACAAATTTAAGCTGTCCAGAAACATCTGGGTGGGGGGGGGGGGTGTTAATCAAACTGTTTTGAAAAAGGTTAACCAAAAATTTTTCATTCACAACATGCTACCAGTCAATTGCTAGGGAATGAAAGTGCAGAGTGTTTACATAAGTAGCAAGAAAAAAAAAATTTCAAGAAATTGTGAGGTACACATGCTCAAGTCATGACTGTGTGGAATAAATTAATAATGGTTTCTTTCAAGTACCTGTCAGAGTGAAAAAAAACAACCAAATTCAACTGCTATATGGAATATAAGTTTTGTCGGTGATGGTATTTTTTGACATTAATAGTCCACAATTTTCCAGGCATTTTTTTTGACCATTGGGATAGGTACTCAACCATATTTTGGTTGAGTGCTTGTCTGTAAGTGCTTGTCCATAAAATCTTCAAATTGGGACCTTATTTCAGACCAAAAATAATTTCAAGTGAATTTTTATGGAATTTCTATTAGATGAAAATAGTTTACAATAAATTGTTAAAAACAGTCTAGGACATTTTGTGCATTAGCCTGTTTGTTCATTGATTTTAAAAAAATATTTTCAAGTAGCTGCTTGTGTCTACCTTTTAGGCTTTGAATCATGCATTTCAGTATCCAACCCTATTCTAAAAAAGTACCCTTAAAATATATTGTTTTGTAAATCAGGAGTCTCGGTTTTTCGAGACTATTGGGCAATGGAATTACCCTAATAAGCATTTGGGTAAACCTAAACTCCTCAGCCATTAAAATCATGACCTAACAGCTGGCTGATCATAAATGAAGTATTTTCTGTGAAAAAGTGTCAATGAATTATCTGTAGAGCCTCCATGAAGAAACTTCTGAAAACATCTCAGTTGATACATCATTAAACAATCAACTAAATTAATAAAGATGAGAGTGATCTTTGCAGTGATGAAGAGTACTTAAGCAGTGGTGAAAATAGAGGCTGAAAAAATCCAGGCCTGAACTTAACAAATTTATGACTTCTAATATACCGGTGCTATGCTCTGCCAACTGAAATAACAATCCAACTGGGAGCTGCTCATTTTTTTGGTTTGTAATAAACCCATGAAGTGAAAAATGAATGACTGTAGATCTATGAATATCACCAACTTGAACTCCATGTTTCACAGAGACTCCCTGAGTTTGGCCATTAATAGTTTGTGTTTGAAGCATTCTCTTGAATCAGAAATATGTCATAATCTGGCAAAATATACTATTTACATTAAAGCCTTGTGTCTTCTGGCCAGTTTTCACGTGATTTTGTACACAAATTCTTGCCTCTAAGCACTGTTTACTTTGACAAAGAAAAGGGTGGAGAGATAAAATGAACTCTTGCAACAACTCTCACCACAAATAGGTCAACAACTTCCTCGGAAAAACTCCCACCAGTGAGACATAAGATCAAATATGTACTTATTCAATGAGTGGTATTTTCAAAATTATATCGTATGGAACCGAGACAGAATTCCTTTATTCTTCTACTTTGGCCTGATTTGCTTTGACATCATCAGTGTTACCGACTTAGTTGCCTCTTTATAGGACTTAAGGCCTGGATATTGACGATCACATGTGTCTGAACGATGAAAGGGTATTTTGAGCTTTAATTCACAGACAGCATGCTCGGGTTGCCTGTGATTTTTCAAGCAAATTCACAAACCCCAGTGTGTTATTTGCTGAAATGATTCACAAACAAACAAAGGAAAGTCAAAACATTCTTCCGGGAGTGGTTTATTATCTGCATAAATTATGCATTTACGATGAGAAAAATATAATTACTTTGAACCACTTTCGCTTTCGAAGGACCCAAAATGTCTCATTGAGATAAAGAACCTATCTTTGGTTATCGATAACATGAGAGAGGTTTTGGAAGCCTTTTCGAGTTGATATTAAAGCCTACTAATCTATAAATCATCAGATGGTTTCGCACCGAACAGTTCGCCAATGATTATACATCACGCGCCAGACAAAATCTAAATCTATTCACGGATCGAGTTCAATTTTGAGCAACGTTTAGAAGAGTGTCTTAATTTCCATCCATGAAAGCACAATTTACCTTCAACGTGTTCTTTCGCTTTTCCGAAGTCGTGTCCTCTTGCCGAAGCATCGCTTCGCGGCTGCTCCACTGTCGCATTTGGAACTTTTCTCTGGCCACGTAGAATTCTTTCACCGTGATGCAGAGGAGAACGACATTCTGGGCAATATTTAAAAGTATCTTTCAAGTCCGTGCATCCACATTCGGGGCACTGCATTGCTAGAAGCTACAGCGACATGTTACTCGTGTCACTAACACTTCAAGATTGCGTCAAACTCTCGAACGAATGCTTCTTGGAAGCAGCGGCGCAGATAGATTTCTCAGAAATTAAACCGGAAGTGGCAGGTCAGTTGCTAGGTGCCTGTAGGTCGGCATTTGTCAATACAATATACACAATGGTGTAGAATGGAATATCTCGCTCATCCTAATTTGGAAACCCGGCAGTATTATACAAAAAGTTGGAAAGGAAGATCAAAAGGACTCTCTCTTCTTGAATATGTTTACGAGTTTTCAGATTTAAGAGTGACAGAAAGGGAATATTCACCTAGATGCACCTTTATTAACCGTATCGGTCACTGCACTTGAGGAATCTGTTTCTGATATCACCTGTGCCAGAACTGTTTGGGCGTTATAGTCGTGAGTGTAAATTTGTAGATTGTATTTCCGTCATATAGGGGGAGTTGAAGCGAAATCACTCCTCTAAGCGCAACATCTCAAGCCTACGCGTTCGCCTCGAGACCCCTGCATATTTTAAAGATAGATCGCGAGTCTTCCATCGCATCTAACTCGTTCGTACCTTTTCTTCTTTTTGACAACAAGGAAGCGCGGGAGGTACGCGCAAGATAAAATGAAAGACAACGTTAACGTTAGACATTGGCAAAATTTTATTTTAAATTACCTTTAATAAAACGATATTGTTTTCTTCCTTTTTTGCCTTTATCATATTTTTTCACTGAAACACTGTAACTCCCTTTCCTCCGTTGTCCCTGAATGAAAACAACCTTCATATTATCAGGTTCATCCCGTTATCTCGTAACAAGATTTATTTTTTTCTCAGTTCGTGAGCGAGCGGTATTCTACAAATCCTGCAATCTGATTGGTTCCGAGAGCGGGTAGTATTCTCCCCATCCGGCCCGCTCATGGCTCAATAGGTTCTTTTCGCAACCATTTATTAGGTTTTAGAAAAAATAAAAATGTTATTCACCAGCCAAGGTCGGTGCGTATTGGGAAAAATTTTTCCCGCTTTCTTGTCCTCAGGCACAGTTTTTCCCAATACGGACCTCCCGTCTGGTGAATAACATATATATCTTAGCAAAACTACAGTCATCTGATGATAGGCATACCACATTGTAATAGTCTAACCAAAACACCCGCTGACAGATATCTTCCTTTCGCTTCTCGACCGATTCTTTCAGCAATCTCTTGGGCAGTCCCAGTTTGAGAGTCACACAGCACAGAGAATCTTCGTCCGCCATGACGGAAGGCTTCAATGAAGAATACCTGTGACCTGAAAAGACTGCAGTCCGGGTGAATTGTTTCAACTATTGCGTGACTATTCCAGCTGACGATGGTCCCGCAATACTATCGTGGTATATTTGTACGGTCAACGCTTTTGAAAACTTGCTTAATTTTTTATCTAGCGAAGTGTACTGTTGACATTTCGGGATCTATAACACGATTACTTACTGGAACTACGAATGATTTTTTTCTACATAAGTCATCAAAGCCATTTCGCCGCTGACCAGTCATATTTCAAGACTCTTTTCTTCCCCACAACTAGAACAACGAAGACATGGCATCCAATCTCGATTTTGCCGAGGATATCGAGGAAGCAAAAGTTTATATGGCGAAGAAAAATTATTTCCAATTGTTCGAAGTGAGGTATATCTTCCATTCGTCTTGTTTTGAGAGCGGAGATTGGTTGATCGTCCGCGGAAAGAATGGAAATGACATCGGATTACTCGAGATCCTTATCTGAAACCAGAGAGGTGTTTTTTTCAGTCAACATACAACAGGAAATCTGTTCACTTTGGGGATAGTACCACTACACATATAGAAAATCATTCCTTAGTTCTATCCATAACATTTTCGCTTCAAGCTGCTTGGCTAAACAATTACTTGCGATGTTAATTAATTCAGTTTCGTAGTTACACGGACATCATGATTGCACGATTGAGACAATAAGAAAACCAAGAACTAACATGTTCCTATGCAGATCAAAATCATATTTAAAACTTACTTTCTTTTCAACCTCTCCCATATGTATTACAGCTTTCCCTCCGGAGGAAAATGGCTCATAATTCTGTCAAATACCGACATAATTTTCACATTTCGAGGTGACCAAGGTACTCCTAGTACCCATTCAGGATAACAACAAAATACATTACGTTGTGGTTTTTGACGACTGGTGGGTTTACCCTTCATAGCTAAAAAATCGTAAAAAATTTTTTCCTCTCCTAGCCTGGAAAGTGTTGGCTCAAGAACCGGCCACTCAGTTTTCGTCTTTTTTACGACTAAATTGGCAGGAACGATGGCCCAGAGAGAAAAGCGGTTAATTGAATCAACTATAATCACAACAGGAAGTATTGCGAGAAAGGATCTTTTTAACAGGGCCTTTCGTATGCACATAAAAATTTTGCCCAAGCATAACTTTGGGCGGGGTGCTTATTACATTACATTTGAAGACACCAACACCGGCAAAGAAAAAATTTATGCAAAAGTTTAATGGAAGAGATACTTTCTATACTAACTTAACATTAATTGAAAGTGCGGTTCAAACTTGCATGCCTTTAGAGCGTATAAGAAAAAATTATTAAAAATTAATTAATAATACCATTCCGCTTTACTTTTCTTATACATAAAAGCTCTTGCTTTTTCTACTATTTTTGCAGAGGGAGACATCGAGAAGAATTTCTTCTAAAATTCTAAATAAATCAAAGGTAAATATACGTGGCAAAACAAACTGGCTGGCCCTATTCATTAACTACAACAACGAAATACCTTAAAGTAGCCACAAAAATGGCAGTATTTACTACATGCCAACATTTTCAAATTAAGGAGAAGATGGAAATGCTTGACGATCTTTGTGGAAGTCGTCATTTAGCTGGACAGCGGAGTTCCAAACGTCCTTTAGGTGCGCCATTTTGACGCAGTCCGGAATGTTCTCTGTTCCTGGGATTGGTTCCAAGCCTTTGTCGGCTAAACAACATTCAAGGTAATCTTCAAAGCTGTAATAAATTTGTATTTAGATCTTAGTCCTGTTAAAGTATAGTACTTCACAAGGCTGTTTAGTTAAAGTTAGGATTTAAAAAGCCGCAAAGAATGTACCGGAAACTGACTCTTCTCCCCTAACAATCAGCAATATCAGGATATCATTATTTTCAATTCACATTTTAAATACCAGTGTTAAAAAGAATTGAGCGTGGACTTGAACCACAAGCTCGTTTACATAATACAAAGGAGTTTTGAATTAGAGAGGAAATTTAGGGAAAATTGAACAACAAGGCGCAGTAAAGTGTTCATCATTAGAACCTTTGGTTCAAATACAAGAAAAGACACTGACGATATCATCCCTCCCAAGAAATAATATCACCTAGAAAAGTTACAAATATCTTTTTTGAGAAACAGGTTTTTTGAAAGCCAAACGTCTATATATTAGGCATAACAGGGCAAGGAAATCTCGTGACTTTCATGGTTTGCACTTCATAGCTCGACAGTGGCACGGTGGAAAATGCGTTATTTCTTGAAGTTACGAAAGCAACCGTAAGAAGTGTATAAGATAACGACTTTGGCCCTTATTTAATTGACGCATTATAGAATGGAACATTTCGAATAGCCCGCCTTACATCATCGTCGAAATCGTTTCGCCATCTTTTTTCACATTTAGAAGAATAATCTGCAGTAGCTGCGGCAGAAATATGTCCATATCGATTTTTCGCAACTCGCGATTCAGGTTGGCCTTTTCTCTTGAGCCAAGTTCTTCCTTGAAAACGTCGGATAATTGCTCAAAAGGCTCCTGAAAAAAAATTCCCGAAAAGGGTTTGTTTTAAAGTGGGTCTGACGAGCTTAAACACAACTAACCAAACCTTTAATATCAAAACTACACTTTGATGACCTTGCGGTAAAGTTAAGGTATACATCTCGTGTAGAGCACACAGAAACACTAATCAAACTTTGAACGAAGTTGCAGTTGTCCTTTTTATTCGTAAACGAACGAATGCTATAAGGCTAAAGTTCCAGAAAAAGTGACGGAAATTACACAGATCGAAAATTAAAACCATCAAAATGAAAAAAATTACTTCAAACCTAACCTGTTTGTTCCTGGACTTGATTTTTGCTCTCTCGAGAGCCATAAGCCGCCACAATGCCAGGGTATGGGACAAACTGCAATGCTGCTCTGCCTGCAACAAGATGGCATAATCCATAAGAACCCATGGAAGAATCAAAACACTCTTAAATAAAACAATTGCTGGCGTAGGAGCAAACAGTCGAAAACAGGGCTTCTCCTTCAGTTAACTATTAGAAAATATTATTATACATCTCTAACACATCGTTCGAATGCTGTACAACCTCTGGCGTCCAGAAATGAGTTTTTGTAGCAACAAACAAGAACATTTTGATTCAGATATTGGTGTTGTGAGCGTTGCACCAGTCAAGAAAGATGACCTCTCAAGTGAGTCTTTCAAATAAAAAGGAGAAATTTACTCACCGTTGCACTCTTGAGACCTCGATCTTTGGGTAGCTTAAGTACCTCATGTAAGTACCATTTTAAAGGCCTCTCCGGCTGGCCACCCGATGAGGCAAGAAAACCAATGGCAATATCCAGTGACGATATAACATCACAGACATCAGACAAGGAAGACCGCAGATCATTAATAATCTGACTTTCGACTACGCGGGAAATTGATTCCTTCAAAAAAACACTTGGTGTAAATGTCTTAGATCTTGACTACACCAACATCGTAATAATGTTATAAATATATTACTGTCGACATAACAAAAACAATTCAGAGCCGAAAACATGCTTCCGTTAACTTAAATAGCTGGAGGGAAAAGTCTATCATGTTAGAAAGTGGAATGTACAACTCTTTCCGTGGTCAAGACGGATCAAAGTGGCTATAAACCTGTTTCCCAAAAATACAATCAAAGACAGACCAGATGACAAAACAGCAAAAAATGAAGCAAGATTTCGTTCCCAATGAAACTACAAAAAGTTAGTAAAGGAGTAAGGTTCTAAAGAAACTGTGGCACTGCGTCGGTGGGAGAGTATAACAGGTAATTTAGTTAACAACTGAGTTGAAAAGGTAAATTGGCCACCGTAAGGAGTTTAAAGGCTGACGTTTCGAGCGTTAGCCCTTCGTCAGTGCAAGTTATACAGTAAATGACATTGGCGGAGGTGCATGTAAAGTGATCAGTGATCTTAATGGATCTCTTGGGTGCCAACATTTTCTCTACGTTAGGAATGAAAGGACAAGTTTTGCATCGTGGACGAGCGCACTTGAAAGTTCCAGGTTGGTCACTGGTTTGAAATGAACTTCTGACCAAAAAGTTGCCTATGTTTTTGTCACGTTTGAATGAAATTAGTGGAGGTTGAGAAAAGATAGTGCCAATCTCTGAACCGTTTTGGAGTAATTTAATCTTTTTAAGGATGATAGATTTAACTGCGTGGTTATGAGGGGGAAATGTGAGAGTGAATGGAATGCGGTCACCGTGCCCCACAAATTGATCGCAGTCAGCACTACAAACGGCTGAGAAGGAAAACACTGACCACATTCTATTCAACCACGCAGTTAAATCTATACGGTGGCCAATTTACGTTTTCAACTCAGTTGTTAACGTTAAATACCTGTTAGAAGCGGTTAGATTGCAAGTAAATGAGAAAATAGATGAAAAAACACATTACTAAATAAATAAACATATTTCATAAATGAAGATAATTTGAAATGTTATCCCAATTTAAAACCCCCAGTTTGCATCGACAATCAAGCATTATCAGACACCCACCGACACCAAATCTCCTTTTCAAACATTCCACACCTTGAGATTTTATTCTTTGGTGCGTCAGTGAAACTAAGGCGAGAGCAAATTTCTTTTATAGAACTTTACAGAACACTGGTTAAATATATATATTGAAACAAAAAAAAGGGAAACTATGAAATTTACCTGAGGAATTTTTCCAGCTAGGGAAGTGAAAACTGCGTCATCTCGGGTGTCTCGGCTGAACGCAAAACGTTCCTCCTGAAACAAAAGAAAAAAAAAGCTGACAGAGATTACAATTACTTTGGTTGCAATTCTTCTTCCAGTTGTGAAGGGATGGTCATAACGAAGCACTAAACGCGTCTTCAAAACGGAATTTTTGTTTTGTTTTTTGTTTTTTCGAATGTTTGGTCATCAGATACTGACCAGAGGGACAAGTAATTCAAATAAAAGGTTAAAAAGGACGAATAGCACTAAGTGTTAAGAAATGGGGCTGACACTGCTGTTTGCAACATACTTCCCAAAAACCAAAGCAGTTTGCATATAGCCCTTTACCCTACGAAATAACCCCTCTTTTGACTTTTCACAGGATTCCTATCTTTGAAAGGTGAAAAAAGGTAAGCTTTTTTTATCCATCAACTGAAATTGTTATGACTGGTCGAGACATATCTTCAAAAGAGAAACGTGTCTCTAATAAAATAAGTTTGAAACTGTTTGCACTAGGTTGAAGCAAACTCAGTAAGAGAATGAAGAGAATAAATACATTCCTGTGCGGTGAAAACGAGTTCTACTGAAAAAACAGAAAATGCTTTTTTCTCATCATATATTATGTGTTCTAAATACTTCCACCCTACCTTGAACTCGACAAAAGGCCTTCCCCACAACAACCTGTCTATCAGCTGTCTCTCCAGAGCCGCCCAATCATAGTGAACTAAGGTCTCCTGTCCCACCTCCAGAGAGTAGTTACAATGAGCCAGGATGAGGGGCAGCAGGTCTCTTTCAGGATCATAGGCTATTAAGTGCGACAAGGTCACCTCTGATACGGAGACACGCTCCAAGGGACTTTAAATGAAAAAGAATATTTCAGATGAGATGTATAGTTGGATCTTACTCATAAACAATTATGAGATGAGGTTTTTTGTAATATCCAGAATAATCAAGGTCGAGTTAGGGGTTATCAGCCGAAGCCGAAGGCTGAGCCGGCTAATAATCCTTACCAAGACCTTGATTTTTCTAGATATCACAAAAACCAAATCAAATAATTGTTTTATAATACATTGAAGGAAAAAAAATGTTCACAAAAGTAGGCGGAATTGATAATTTATTTCTAAACGCGTAAAAATATACAAATCAGCAAGCAACACAAAGCGCGCGAACTTGACGTGATTACCCTTAAAATTGGCACTGCAGTTACACGTGACATGATTACCCGTGACCTTGAGTGTCCTTGACATGACAATTGTATAATCTGAAACTAGATGACGTCCCAGGCGCTGATATCGAAAATTCACCGAAGGCTTTCGGTCAATCAGAAAAGAGATAGTAAGTTGAATGCATAATAATGACTGTAATTGTCTGTAGTTAAGTGTCCTATGCTTAGTGGGGTAATTATCCAAGACTGAGCAGGACTAGCGGAAAATTATTTTCATCAACATCGTAACTATTTCCAATGTACATTATTCTCGAAAATAATAGCCCCAATTAATGACATTTTTCATTCTAAAGCTACATTTAGAGGAGACGATAACTGATTGCAGGATGCTGATATCAGTCTCATGTTGCAGCTCAGTCAGTTTGACAAACACCCTAGACCTAAATTAAGTAGAAAAACGTTATCTACGCTTTAGACAGCTCGAGTAAGATCATGTCGATCAACTATTTGCTTCTATAGAAGGTAAGAGGAAAATGGCAACACGTAAGCTGTTCATTATAAAATTATGTACCTATCTTGATTAGTTGCACTACGGTAGGCTCCCAGACACTCGTTATTTGCATTAACCAGGAAGAAGGTGAGTGAGGTCGAACAAACTCCCATCCCGGTGGTGCTGGGGAGAACCATTGCGATTGGAAAGTTGTTGTCGATTGTGGTATTACAAAGGTCTTGTGGAACGCGCAGGCGACCTTGGGGTGTAAAGAATGACAAAGACAAATTAGAACCAGATGAAAGTACTCAAAAGAAGGCACGGTAAAACTGCTAGAACAAACAATCAACGAAAACACTGACTTTGAGTCAAAGTTGAAATAAATTACCACATTAAAAAATTCGATTGATAGAAAGAATAACAAGAGAAAAATACCGCATTTTTTCTAAATCAGTGTGATCTTTTTTAAAAACCGGCAAATCAAATGTTCGAGGTATTATTTCATGACTAAGTTTTGACTCCTCATCCGAATCTAAATTTAGCATCACTTTTGAGTTTGGCCTTTTTCATCTCACCACGCTGGGCTCAGATAAATTACTAAGTAACTAAACAAACATTTATTACAGAAAGAAACGAAATTTGGTCGCAATAATCACTTAAGCCTTCTTTCGTGTACCCTGGAAAAACGGAACAATTATTGTACCTTGATCACCGAGAAATGACTTGCAAGCATTCCATGCATTCCTGAAACTCTGGAACAGGTTCGTATACTCCTCTTTCACAGATCCTGGAGACAAATTTGATCTCAGCAGAATTAAAATTTACTTCAAGAGTCATCACAGTTGCACTTACACTGGCAACTTTCTCTTCAGTAAAATTCACACAAAAAATCCTTATCCAGAAGAAGTCATACGAAAAAAAATATCAAACACGGAGACTTATCAAGGCAAATCTTGTCTAGGACGCAATTTACTTGCGCAGATGACCCGAGAAGAATTACCAAGAAAATTCTGGCCATGAACATTTTTTTTGACAAATAAATAAACGAAATTGAAATTTAGCCGTCACATTTCCAAGGGGTAGAAATGCTATAGCTTTGACACCTCTGTCATTCTAGTCGTCAAAAGATATCCTGTGGAAAAACTAACAGGGAAAGGTGCACCTGCTAACTGCAGCTTACTGTTTGAAAAGCATCTCAAAATATCAACCCTTTGCATTGAACAATTGCCATGGCATTGGCTATATCGGATACAGGTTTGTAGCTTATTTAGTACCTTTGGGAAGGTCCTTGAGAAATTCAGGGACGGTATAATTCTCAGCATCTGTTCTGTCAATTCTTCGGTGGAATCTGTCCATTAATAGACGCTGGAGGCGAACAACATCGGGTAGAAACTGAACGAAACGCAACTTGTGTTCCTGTATTCGTTAAAAAGGAAAAAACAAATAAAGATAGAGACTTAAAAGAAAACTGCCTTCGGTTTTTCACGAGCAGATGCTGCCCGAAATTTAGGCAGAAAAAGGGGTTGGAATTACAAGAATAATCTTTGTAGCACAGAACCCCAACTCTTTGCAGCAATATGTTGATGTTACCTGTTTGAGGAATGACAAGGAAAATCTTTGTAGTACAGAACCCCAACCCTTTGTAGTAATATGTTGATGTTACCTGTTTGAGGAAAGCGTCCAACACTTTGAATTTCCCTCCGCCACCAGAAAGGACTTCTCTTTGAAAAGAGCTACTCAGTTGCTCAACAGTTATACGGTGTCTGTACTTCCAAAGAGCGCGAGACATGGGCCTAACGCCCTGAGATAAGTCTTTAATCTGTTCATCGAACTCGTAAAGTTGACGTACCAGCGGATCCTTTCCTGAAAAGGACACAATACAAAGATGTGTGAAAATTTCTTATTCAACGGTTTCGCCAGAGTTTGTAATAACTGTGCGCGCTTTAGCAAAAATTGAAAAAAAACGCCTTACTACCAGCTAAGGTTGAGTTAACGCCTCTTTCAGGGATAGCAATAAAGCCCTCCAATCCACTAGTCCTACTACTAGTAGATTCGCTTCCCGCGCATTTTTTACTGCATCAACAAGTAAAATGAAATAGCGTACCAAATCTCCCGTCTCCCATCAAAAGTCTTGAGGCGTTTTGGAGATTCTCGTCAAGATGCTGGGAAGATATTGCAAAAATAACAATAACACTAGAACGCTAATCATACGGATAAAGATCGTATGTAGCAAAGCAATTGGCGAAACAAACCAAAAGAAATCACTCAATTTTACGTACGGTGATGACAGGAACAAGAATATCAGAGCAAAAAGCTTTCTCCCAGCTGCGGCGACTTTCCTGAGTTTGAAGAAGCATGTCATGGTCATTTCCTGGAGAGTATGAGAAGAAATGGGAAACAATGGGCAATAATGAACAAACTGGATAGCAAAATAGAGAGAGAGAGAGAGAGAGAGAGAGAGAGACTGAATTTTTGTTCAATATGCTAAACTCGCTATTTAGTTTGATCAACGTGAAGGCAAAACTAAATATGACGTCATCAGAATCAATTGGTTCTCCCTGCTTTGCTGCCATTTGCTACTTCATTATGAACAAAATTCAGCAACATCAGCCGGCGACCCGTACGCCATTTGTTTCCCTTTTTGATTTTAATTCTACAACCACACCATGGTGTCATCTGTTATCTACTACTCATTTAATCATACCGACCAACCAGTTCGAGGGCTTACGGTTGATATGTTAACTTTTCTTAGAATTCGCAACCAGAGCTAATTAACTCCTCAATGTCGGAATTGATCATAGTTATATTATGATGATGGCTAAAGTTTGCGCACAAGACAAATTTCCGGTTTCTAAAGCACAGTTTGGCAAAGAATAGAGCTATTCACCCTCGATGATATGGGAGTCCATCGGATGAGAGTTTACCCGTTGATCAAAGTGTGTTTTTACACTAATTTTAAGGTATAAAAGCCTGTACCAGTTTTTCCCCCATTTAGCGAGATCATCTGCTGTAATGCTAGATGAACTGTCAGAGCTGCGTCATCAACACTGCACCTGAGTGCTCTACTAAGAACATCCAGGTCTCTCTGCAAGTGCTGCCATAAAAACTGTCCCACAGACTGCGACGAGCATGAAGGTGTGATCAGCTGTGCGGTTGCCTTTGAAGAAAAAAATCGAAGATTTTTAATTGTACTCAAGAGTGAGATAGATGAGAAAAAAACTTGGCTGCTTTTCTTAATTAAAACCATATGGATATTAATTCCATCAGGTTTTAGACAAAGTTATCTCCAAGTAGAAACTGGACTTGTAATCTGGTGGTCCCGGGTTCAAACACTTGAAACTCTCACTTGATTTATTCTCGGTTGCCCCGAGTTTTCAACTTCTTGGCTTGGTTTTTATACCCACTGTAAATAAAGCCTAATACTATTCTTATCGTTATTATTATTATTATCATCATATTAATTTGAGAATTCCTATCACTCTGAAAACCGGTCAGTCAAACTATATATCACGTGAACCGTGTGCTCTTTTTCTTTACATCAAATCTACATCAAAACATTGGCGTTCTAGATCAAAATTCATTCTCTAAAGGAGTTCAGAAGGACCGCAGCTGATACAAAAGTTACCAGAATGTTCATTTTCTGACAGCCGCCCGCTGTGTCTAACGACTAATCACCTGTGGATTTCTGGATGCTCCCATGACCATGGCCGAGTGCACGATAATCCTCAGCAAACTGCACACTATCGGCGGCATGTCTCTTTGAGGTTCTGCGTTCGTAAGTCTCGAGCTAGGTTCTCCGAGTACATGGCCAGCTTTGGTCCTGTCTTTCCTAGAGATAGAAAGTTGAAAAGTAGATACCACTTGAGTAATCACTTGCGCTTCAAATTTCTTACAATAGATACGTCATAGAAAGTGCATTGTCAAAATAGATAGTCTGAGACTGCCTGTGGCTACTGATATAGTACAATGGTTATAGCATTGAGCAGAAATAGAGGTTGTATAGTAACGCTAGAAGGTAGTGTTGTTCACTTGCAATACACAAAACCCACAACCTACATAATTATGAGTACCCTGTTACACAAGGGAAAGAGAATTTGACAACATAGAATCTAATTGACACAAAGTTTCCATGATGCGCAGATAACACGTATTTTGACATTTCTGCAAAGAAAATTTTGCTTTTTGGTAATTAATAATTAAAACTACGCGTCGACGAGACTGAAAGTTATTTTGAGATGCTTGTCGCTTTTTTTTGTAGTGTCACGGCAAGAACTTAAAACATAATGCGTTATTGTCTGTAAGCCAGAAATCCCAAAAGGAGGGAACTCAAAGGTGTATCGAGTAACAAGATACTTCGAAAAGAAACGATTAGAAGTACCGGGAAACATCTGTCAAAATTGGGTCAATATCGGAATGTTTTTGTTACATACCGTCACTCACGCACTCACTCATACCCTAACATAGCTATAGCAAGACTAAATTTTTTAAGTTGGTCATTTGAATCCACTCAAGTGAATATAGACCACACAGTTTACATCCTCTTGATCCATTGTAATCTCTTCCATCCTTAAACATCTTCTTTCTTTCTTAGTATATTACTTTCTTCTTTTGTGTTTCTACCTTCCAAGCTTCCATTTTCTAGTATCCTTTCTGGTGAAGTTAGTCTTTCAAATTGCACAAAAAATACTCAAAACATCTCAACGTGGCTCCCTTTTTTGATGAAAATTCGTCCTTAATGTGTGATGAAAAAAGACATTTTTTCCTCAAAACAGAAAGAACATTTAGAAACGTTTAAGTTATTCAAATAAGATGTGTTCAAATTACTTCTCGGAAACTCTGTATTCTCCAAAGAACTTGTGCTCCTTCCCTCCCAATAATTTTCCACAATCTGGACAAGTGCCCTGCTCCATTGGTACTTTACACTATTCCAAAACAAATGAAATCTATGTTAGTGAGCACAATGAGAGCCGGTGACTATGCGTGAAGTACATTAGGTTCTTTCCCTACTCGGGTAACAGGTAACTTGAAAGGTATTTACACCCTTCTCCCTTACCCATTGCGGTAAGTCTCTACCAACGCAACCCTTGATTTCATAGTCTGTGATAGTCAGTTGCGGATTCAGAAAGGAGTTCCCCATCAGAACCGTGGGTACTTTCCATTAGCCTGAAATCAATATTCTGCTAGGGAAAAGATCACATATTACTACTAAACTTGAAGTTTAGCAGTAATATTATAGTATTCCGTGTCTTATTTAGGCTCTAGTGTCCAAATAAAAAAAAATTTATATCTCCTTACCTCCCCGATGAAATATAAATATCTGCAATTGACACACTCTGAAAGAAAGAAAGTAAGGTGTAAGATGTAATTTTAAAGTTCTCGTTGGAACAATAGAATTGTACATGCTTATTTGAGATCGCTGCTAAATTCAAACGTAAACATTTCTAAAAATACAAAAGACACTTACCATACCACTCTCCAACCCATTTAGTGTGTTTCAAAGTATCAGCCATGGCCTTCATGCACTCGACATAGTTATCCTCGGGCATTGTTGGTAAGAAAGAATTCTGTACCAGGAAATCAACGGAGCAATCAGATATTCTGTCAGTAAACTACGGTGGAATAAGGTACTTTAGAATTATCAACTGAGTTGATAACGTAAATGGCCACCGTAAAGAGTTTAAAGGTTTCGAGCGTTAGCCCTTCGTCAGAGCGAATAATGAAGGGGTCTGACGAAGGGCTAACGCTGAAAGATTTAAAACTTTTACCGAGGCCAGTTTACATTATCAACTCAGTTGATAATACTAAATTACCCTGTTATACTCTCCCACCGAAGCAGCACACAGTTTCTTTAGAAACCTACCCCCTTTAGTGTGGAACAAGACATGCAAATGCTCTTTTACCATTTTAACAATAGAAAGTAGATTTTAATCGTTATGGTTATCATTTTCACCTATGCTCAAAACATTTCACATTTTCTCAGGATAACATATCTTTGTATATTAACCTTCATAGTCGATGGATCAGTCAGGAGAGTATAAAGGGGCTGAGCCAAAGATGCTGCACCAACGCACTGCAAAGCTGCTACTGTATGGATCACAATTTCGGCCATGGTGTGCTCCTGCGGACTCTTTCCATTGTAGATTTGAAGTTCCCTGAGATTTCCACCTTGTTTGTTTTCAAGAAGTGCCTTGGCCAAATGTTGCACCTAAATAATATACATAGCTTATTACAAAAAGAAAACGAACCTTTCAACAGCCTAAACAACGAGAGAGTAAGAAAAGAATGGTAGTGTTGACTATTCAATTGCCAATTCCGCTGGTTTCACACAAGTCGACCATATTTAACACAATAATCAGGAATTAAAAAATGTGCTAATTGTCTCTTTCTTTTCGAGTTACCTCAACGACAATCCATTTTGCAGTAAACATGCGCGCATGTTTTTAATTGCTCTTACCGTTTCATTCAGGTGTCCTCCATTTCTTACGAAATCGTCAAGCTTTACTCTCACCTGAAAAAAAAAATTATCCTCTTTTCTGAGAGTAGCAGGCAAGAACGTGTCGAATTAGCGAAGAGGAAGGATGAATAAGCATACAGAGCAGAATTACAATTTTCTTTGGAAAGTGTACACTGTTTTTCCTTACCTCCTGAGACAAATTCTGAGTCTGAACTGGAGAAATATTTGCCATCGTTATTTCACGGTATATCACCAGGAGGAGAATTACATTTTTATAGACATCTTGTAATCTTGTTTCCTTAAAAAAATTAAAAAGTTCTAATGGTGACTTGTTTGGAAACTTCTCATGAAAATGGTTGACTTAACTTTAATTGTTTAAAAGATACTTACATTTCGCTCACCAATATGGTTGTGAGATGTAAAACTGTAAATTTTAACCTCTGAGTCCTCTAAGATTGCGTCAAATGAGTATAGGGGGTAAGTTTCTAAAGAAACAGAGCGAATGGCGAAGGGCTAAAGCTCGAAATATCAGCTTATAAACTGTTAACGGCAGCCAATTTTCATTATCAACTCAGTGGATAAAACCAAATTATTTTAAGATTAAGACTGTCTTCATAACACAGGGGTGAATCCAGTATAATTATTTCTTAGGAGAGGCTGCAACACAAACGAGTAACGTAACTAACGGGTGACGTCAACAGATTTTGAAAGCGACCGACGAAGAAGAAAGCTTATGACCAGGAAATAACATAATGTGAACTGCTGAGAATGTATTGCAAACAATTCGGCAGATATTGTATAACCGTGAAGTTGTATTGGGAGGCCGCAAGTCATCAAATTCTTTTATCGCGTAATACATTTACCAAAAATGAGTACCAACGAGTTCTAAAATATCTGTGTCATTTCTGAATGTCTGGAGTTGATACAATCCATAATAACCCACAATAACGAAGATAAAAGGCCCAATAGAAAAAGAGAATATACAGTGGACACTAACCGTAATGGCAGTGACAATGTCTTGGATGTTCCCAGTGATGACAGTTTTGGCCAGCCCCTCACGGACGGCACGATAATGGTCTCCATGAACAATAAACCTGTCTTGGATTACATCCTCCTCCTGCAGATCGAAGACCAAAGATCAATAGCAAGCAACGTGTATTACCATAAGTAAAATGTAAAAAGGTTGTTGCCTTCAAACATTTAAGAGAAGTGTTCAATTATGAGCACTAAAAAAGAGGACGGAAAGAGTCTGGATTTTCAAAAGTTGTTCCTCTTTTTGGCTCCTCCAGTTCTCAACCGTTGCGCTTTGATAACACTTGTGGTTTTTTGAGAGATATTCACGAGGTTTAAGTATATTTACTCGTATTGAGTTCTGAGAAATTCAGTTCACATAGTAGATGGCCTGTCTCGTTAACATGTTCACAGTAATTAGAGCACCTGACTACGAAGTCAGAACTTACCAAAATTGAATCCGTCTAGCATCCAGATTTTTCCTTTCCCGTCTCACACTTACGACATATGCATACTATTTTTCTATTATGATTCAGTTTTAACACATTTCAACGAAATCCATTCATTCATCATTCATTGTTTACCTGCTGTATGGCCTCTGGAGGTAGAATCCACGCTAGTTCCTCATATTCACCCAGAGTTCGGACACAGTCCAAGCCATACCGCCTGACAAGCTGATTAAGCAGGTAGAGCCACGGTGTGGAACTCGACACTTGCTGTGGTGTGGAACTCGACACTTCCATGCAAAGCTTCCTTGCAGACTCTAATAATAACATCACTTCTCTCTTGGCGTCAAGGTCTTTGTAGCTGCTATCTCCCTCAATGAAAAAATTGTAAATGTACTCTACCACCAATGATAAGACGTAACGTCCTTTAGCAACCCAATCCAGAGAGAGAGCGCTAATTTCAGCAGAATCTTCGTCACTGGCCTTAAGAGCTGTAAACGACTCCTCGCAAGTCTTTTTAGCATGTTTGAGCTTTAATGTTATCTTCAAATCGGCCATTTTTGCTTGATAACGGCTGATAAGGATGTCCTGAGGTAAAGGCAGTAAGATTTGAGAACAGTTATAAAAGAGAACATCTCGGGTATGTAAGTAGTACGACCCAAGTAGCCCATGGGGCCGGTGCTTAACTCCGGTTTTCTTAGCATGAAGCGCTAGGAGTATTGCTACTCCCCCCTGGATGGGAGGCTAGTCCATCGCAGGGTTACCCCCAGCACATTTTCTGGTACCCATTTGTACACCTGGGTGAAGAGAACCATTGTGAGAGTAAAGTGTCTTGCCTAAGAACATAAGACAATAATCCCGGCCAGGGCTCGAACTCGGACCACCCGATCCGGAGTAGAGTAAATATAATTTCAGTTGAACTACTCTCACCTCACAGCACAGTATTAGTTAAGTTTACATACCTCCATACACTGGACGCATAAGATGCAGACTTCTTTGACGTGCGAAGATTCTGGTTTTAAGCTCCGAGCCCCATGCAAGAAATTTCCCAAATGGTCTTTCACCAACTTTGTCAACTTCACACTGTTTTTAAAAATTAAAGACAGTTTAGTATATAATTATCCTCCTATTAACTGGACAATTTAATGTAAATTGGAGACAGGAAAAAAGAAAATCAGACATGTTAAGAGGCACAAGAAAGTGTGAGTGCTAGCTGAGAAAGAGATTGTTTCTCAACACTTTTACCTTGACCGCAATAGCTGCTGGAGAAGAAAAGAACGCACTACAGGAGTGGGATCAATAGCATAATCAGGGAATGGAGAGAAATCCTTGGTCTGAGTTGACTGATGACCGATAACATAACGCATAAGTAGAGTGATAGCTTCCTTTTCAAGGTCCTTTGACACTGAGTCACCAAAACAGAATACTGACACCAGCTCCATGAAAAAGGCATTACATCGGCGACGTAACTCAGAGGCGGTCTCTTCATTTGTCCTGTGGTCATTAAAAAAAACATGAATAAGTACCAGCATAGCAGTAGAATTATTTCTTTACCCTCAATTTCAATAACGCTCCGGCTTCGGCCATGGGCCATGGTTTCCCACCATCAGTCAAAAATAACTTAAGTTTTTGGCATTTAAAGCTGTGAGAAACTATGATTACTCTGTGAAAATGTTGCGATGTAATTCTTCGTCTATTGACTTCAGGATGATTCGGATTTTTCAGTTTTGATTTTCATGTGGGAAAAAAATCCAGGAACCAAATAGAAAAAAAAGCCGGAGGGTAAAGAAAAGAACCAGTGACAAATCAAGCCTTGGTGTGATGCAGGGTCCTGGAACGAACCTCGCCCACACAATTAGGAGACGAGTGATCTCGCCCTAACACAACCCTGAAGTTGTTGGCCGTGGCTAACGCTATGTTACCAATGAATACTTTAGTGGACACAGGCCGATGACAGCTTCCACAATAACAAGCCTTGAAATGTCCCCAAATTTCATTCCGCTTTAACTTTCAATTAAGTAAATCAATACCACCAGAGAAATATCAGGAGATGGTTAGCCTGGAGTAGATATAATGTCCTGAAAAACTTTATGACAAGTGAGTCCAAAGAGGGCTCGTGTCAGACTTTACCCGAAATTAGTTGTGGGAGAATTTGTGCAGTCTCCGAAACTTGCGAAGATTGAGACCCTATAATGTAGAAATATAACAACTAAATTGTACATAACGTGCTGGTTTACCTCTGCTTGATGTCTTCACTGTAGTTAATCAAGAATTTTTCGATGGTCTGCAGCGATCTCAGCGATGAAAAGTCAGTTTCATCTCCCAAAACCTTCAGAAGAGAGCAGTTTGCATTATCGAATTCTTATTTATAGTTCATTATTTCCGTTTCGTATCTCCTTACTCTAACCTACCTTCCACAACCTGATAACGCTCTCGGAATTGTCATCATCATCTTTCTCGGCGAACAAAGTCACGTGCTCCACAAAGAGTCGAACAGCTCCTGTTCGCTGCCACATGGATCTGATCCACACAAGAAGGAAATAATATAAGTACTTTCTCATTTGTATACGCGTCCTAGTACATTATACCAAACGGGTCCTCTAGACAACCCTTTAAAACAAGATACTACTAACGATTTGCCTTAAAAAAAATTTAAGAAATATGTACAGGCAGAATTCGAAAAAGTCACCAAGACAAAAGCCTTGCAAGATTCGCTTTCTCGTGTCGTCCTTAAAACCTAGAATCATTCCCTGTAAATTCTCAAATAGCAAATTTCCAAGTTGGCCCAGATAAAGTAAAGATCTAAATACCTCTTTGAAGATGTATCATTAAGTTCTCTGTTTACGATGTTTACTCTCTTACTCTCTTACTAAGCATGGCTGGCTCAAAGACCAACTATTTAAACATGCAAAATCCTCTCATAAAAGACGGAGCAAGAAAATGACTGACTGGTTATATAGTCTTATCAATAAGGTCTGCCGATTAAACTAACTGCAACAAAGCCTTTAGTCAGCTTCTGCTCATGTCACAGTCAAAACTAACCTCAAAAAGGGAAAATTGGGTGCTTTGTTACCTGCAGTGACCAAGCATTACTGTTGATCTCTCTCCAAAGTTTGAACATTTCTCCGTGACAGGTCCAAACCTCTCTTTCCTTATCATGTCTTCCACTGCTGGCCTTATAGACAAAACTCTGTCACACCATGTTCGTCGTGTCTCCGGAGAAAGTAACATCTCTTGTGAAGGCTCCAGTGTCTCAAGACAAATGTTCAATGCTATGACATCCAAAAGCTGTATGAAATTTTAAAGATTAAAAAAGTCACAGAAAAGAACATATCACAGAACAGTCAAACAATATGAAACGTTTTGCCTGAAACGGAAGAGGGAGGGGCTCATTTTGTGCTTGTGACTGCCTAGCCATTACAAAGAGGTGATAATTTTCAGTTATAAAACAAGACATATAAAATAACCTGGCCTGCCTGAGGGACTTAAATGTATCAGTGTAGGAGACCCCTACGGAAAGTTTTGCCTAATGTAGTAGAAATTATGTTAATAATGACTACTAATTAAAGTTTCTGTTTATATAATATCTTAAAATATTCGAGTAAATTGGGAGCTCATTAAAATAAGGATGAACTTATAACTAACGTATTACAAACAGCCACAATAAGGCACCTAAACTCACCACTTCTGACTCGTTTCCTTGAAGAGCTTTCCGTAGTCTTGGTACCAGATGAGGATTCGCTTTCACGACTGTATCAAAACACTTCAAACGGTGTTGAACTCTACTATGCGCAACATGAACGAGTGCTATATCAATGGACTCGTTACCATCCTCATCTTCCAGGATAACAATTTCTCTCGCTGACGAAAGAATCGCTTCGTAAACAAGCTGAAAGAATAGAGGGAAAAAAAGCAAACTCAAATGTAATCGTGCTAACGAGAGCATCATCTTACAACTTAAAAGCTTGATATTTTTCTTTGACTTTCCCTGATTTTACCATCAAAAGGTCAATCTCCATCTTGAATAGTAACATATTCGATATATTTTCATCGTTTTTGATCGCTAACGTTTATAAAGTAACAATTAAAACGATTTCTCACGGGAAAGGATGCCCTTTGGGTGAAGAGCATAAGCAAGCGCTACGAAAGAAAATATAACTATTATCCAAGGAAATCTGATATTGCGATGAAAACACAGGTAGAAATGAAACCTCGTGCTCCATATCGCTGAAAGGCTTGTACACCATGTGAACAAAATCCATCAGATACTGCAGTTCCGCGGAGTGCAAACGGCGCAATTCAGCGAGTGGGGGCCCCAACTGCGAGTTACCAATCAGTTCACGAAGAGAGTCTAACAGAGTGGTGCTAGAATGAGCTGCAACCGAAGAAACAAAACATACATGAGACAACTGTTGCTACACAGAGTCCTTAAATTTACCTCATTAATGTCATGAACATCAGAACATACGGTGCATATCGAGATTCCCATGAGTGAAAATTTATTTCCAGTGATATCTTTTATGTTCGTCCCTGGATTTTTAACCATTTCCTGTTTTCGTGAATAGTAGAAAATTTAGGAAACGACTGCATCAGTAGTGGTCGTCAGTCTCGATTTACTCATATGGTGGTGATCATACACTAAATCTTAGTTAGGGTGACTGTTTTGTGTCAATCACTCATTATGTAAAACAGAGAGACGACGGTGAAAAAATAGGAAAACAAATGCAAAAAAAAGTTCGTGTACCTTCGACGCTAGATGCATCTTTTAACAATTTTTCCACGCGTTGCTTGATAATAAAAGAAAATGGAAATCGGCGAGAAAAATGATGACCACCGGCCCCAGAGCCAATAACTTGAACACGTTCTCGGACAGCATTAGTAGCGGGTGATATCATGTCACTGTAACTCAGCTCTGAGATGTTACGGTCGGCCAAGATCTTCAGCCACAGCCTCGGAACCCACGTGTTGTCATTCTTCAACAAATCTAAATTGCCGTCTCTGTCTGCCAATGCAATGATCTCAGCCAAAATAGGAACCACAACTGAGAACACTCGCTGCAGAAGAGCCTTTCTGAAGGTGCCCCACTCTTGCACCCCTGTTCCTGACAGAGCTTCTGATTGGAGCCACCTTTGTGGATTTCCCGCTGTTTGCTCCCTTTCCTTTAAGAGGTGGTATGTTCTTTGTACCGCAACGCTTGCAAACGACTCTTCATCTTAAAAGAGATGGGAGTGAGGTTCAAACAAATTAATAAAATAATGAAATTGAAGAGTTGAATTTTACCAATTGCTGCATTAAACCTGGCTTTTTCCACTCACTTCACACAATGTTACGTTCCTTCAGCTATTGCCCCCAAAACTACAATTCTGAAAAACACTCAAAGTTCTTTAGTTCTGCGCCCAATATTGAATCGGTCTGATGGATCAACAAAGATTGCAAGTTTGATGTTCGTTCCAGTCCAATATTGCTTTGTTGATTAAATAGGTTCCGAGCTTTAAGCGATGAATAACCCAATCAATCCACCCTTGCCATTCTCGCAACTTCCCTGACAACACCAGAGACGAAAATGGTCACAACTTTGGGATGCCTTATAAATGGATTGTCCTTCGTAGCTTCTTCATAACAATGCCCTCTACAAAAGAGTGGTGCATTAATCTTACACTACCACAGCAATAGCAAAAGGAGAATTGTTCTGTATGTCTCGGAAAAACTCTGCTGTTCGCCAATCTGAAGGTCTCCTCTTCTTGGTATCATTTCATGAAGAAATAGCAAATCTTCTCAATTACAGGAGAAGAAGCGCCATAATCGATATCTTCCCGCAAATTTCTGGGGATCTTTTGAGGATAAAAGCCATGGTAAAATTGAATGATTGCAATAATCAAATTAAATTTAGAGATTTTGCTTTCGCTTTCAGAATATGAAGAAAGGCAAATTTAAAACCCTGTAAGCTTAGATCGCATCTTTTGAAAAGGTTATATTCCTTAAACTGAAAGACTTGTGAACTTTTCGGAAATTCTATCATGTCATATTGTTTATTGTTTCTCTTTACTAACCCTCTTGAGTTTGATAGTCATCAGGTAGTAAATCCAAAAGCAGCTCAATCCTATGAGTTGACCGTTCAGCTGATTCCGTTTCGCTATCAACCCTACAAGCAGCCGCTTGTACACAATTACGAAGGAGCTTCACTGCCACCGTCACCGCTGGCATGGATTCATCTTCCTCAGTGGGGTCTCCATTAAAAAGCTCACTAATGGGACGATCGATGAGTTGCTCGATGGAAGGAGTGTGCCTACCGGGTGGACGAAGTTCATCTATGTGAACGGACATCCATTTTCCACCCTGGAAACCGACAAAGTTACAACATCCACCAGCAATTCTTGGCAGCTGTGTGATCAGCACAATATGGACAGCTTCCAACGAAGACAAGTTGAGCATTTCAGACGCGTTTGTTCGTTCTTCCATCAGAATGTGTCTTGCACCCGCAATCAGGTTGAAGTTTTCTTCTCCTGAATCACACTGAACCAGAAGAATACCACGACATTCTCCACCAAGGTCTTCAATAAATGTTCTACGGAAAAAGATGACGGCTCATTTCAGTTGAGAAAAAAGGTACACATCATAACAAAGTTTTTGAGACGTACAACGTGAGATACACTTTTAGCTGTCAATGTGTTAGCCACAGACAAAATTCGCACAGACCGTGAGTAGTACATGCCGGTTGTGCTTCATATAGTGCAGATGTCTAATTATCCAAAGTAGAATTTATCGAATAAATAGATATAAAAAGTAACGCTCTAAAACAAAACTTGAAAATGTCCCAATAAAGGTTCTTCACTTCAACAATTATTCCCTGAAGTTGACAGAAAAGGAAACTCATCTCACCTTATTTCACGCTTTCTATCTTTTTATTAGCTCGTTTCTAACCGGTAGTTACAATGTCCATACACGTTGATTTGCATCAAGATCTCACCTAACTGAAGCCCTAAACTGTTGTTCCGTTTGAAACTGTTGAAGTGTTATGGAATCCACAGTCGCTCGTTCAAAGCCAGTTTGATTGCATATGTCTTCCAAATCGTTTTTAGAAAGCAGACGTGAATGAGTAGTAATCTAAAGCAAAGATGAAAAGCAGCATGCATGTCGAGGGTCAGCATTACAAATATGTTCCTTGCTTTCGTTCTGAATCTCCTATTGCCAACTTAAAACATAGTTAGGACAGCCATACCCCGTTCACAAAAAAACTGAAACTCGAATTTAAATCGGGAATTCGTAAACTAACCCCTTTCAACTTCAAATCTAGCACATTAAAAATACAAGTTAGTCATTAAGTCAGCCCTACGTAAATTTATTTCTCCAGTTGTCCGATGCTGATTTTCTTACGGTTAAACCTGGTTCAAGGAAACATTATTTGAAGATGGGACATTACTTACGGGCGTGCTCCAACGCCTTGTAAGACTTTGCTCCGGATAAGGGTCTTCAGTTTCACTCAACCACTTTAGAACATGTTGGTATCGTTACTGTACTGTTAGGGCTTGTAAATATTGCTGCTTATGTGATTTTTAAGTCCTCTGTCTTACTCAAGAGAGAAGTAAACTATACACAAGACGATAAACTAAGCATTGTATCCCCATCACTAACTTGAATCAAGAGCCCCTCCTGTCGCTTTTCATCAAAACGTCTATCCTCCAAATTGAGCACGTGCGACATGAACGTCGCCAAACTTGAGTGCTGTTGCTTTTTAAAGTAGGCCCTCCAGATATCAGGGGCTCCTCTTTCCAAAGCAGTGTGAGGAAGGCGAGCAATTGCATCTGGTGTAGCCATCTCTAAAAGCATCATCTGAGATCTTCGAAGTACCTTTTAGGTGGGAAAAAAAAAACACTTACAACGTTACTTTGCTGGTCTAGTTAGTGCAAAACTATACTTTACACTAAAATCTTCGTCATTAGAAGCCCAATTCATGTTGCAGGCAAAGAATTAAAAATAGGAGTCATATTTAATGTCCCATATTTCGCGCGCTTCTCAGGGTGATCGACAAGAATCTCAAGTCCGTAACACAATACGTATTTAATAATTCAGAAGGAAAAAAGTAGAAGCAAATTACATAATGTTCAAATCATTAATCCTCAAACTTTTTGCTAAATATACTCAGGTAGAATTTGCTCGCTGTACCGGCGAAGTGTTCTCAACGGAGTAAAAATTCATGCAACTCGCAAAATCTCCCATTTTTTAAAACACGCAGGAGCCATCAAGATGTATTTATCTTAAAATGACATTTCCGTGAAGCGTACTTTCATTTCCCATGTATCTCCTGTGTCGTAACTTGCCGATGAGTGGTCTTCTCCTCCAATTTCATTGCAGACTTGCATGACAATTGAGGGAATGGTATCCTCGTGAAATCCAACAAAAGCGTCTCCGATGGAGAAGTCCCTGTTACCAAACATCAAATTAAAAATATTAAAATAAAGTCGCCCAAAATCTATAAAATGTAAATATTATGAATAGTTGTTCCATATGCTTTACCTTAATTATATTTTAAATTGTGCCTTAGCATTGAGAAAAAGCTAACAGTTTTTTTGTAATCATGCGCACAAAGCACACTCAAAATCGCGCAGTATTCCGAACACTGCAAAATGCAATAACATCGAATGTCCTCATAACAAAGGGCTCGAGACCCTTTTTTTGTAACATCACCTGCCACGTCTGCCTTCACTCGAAACCTCAGCAAATTCACCAGCCCAGGTCCCCATTTTCTGTACTAAGTCCTTCTGGTCAGTAGTCAAACTTGTTAAGGTCACAAGGAAGTGTTTCTCCAGGCGGTTGATCAACGGAATAGGAAAGTTGTTGTACACCACTTCCTTTTCAGCAATCACGATTAATCTGAGTAAGGTAGAGCGACTTAAAACTCAAAGCGATGCAAACAATAGGTTAAGGCTCTATGGCTCACTAGTATTGCGTTTGTGAAGGAACGCAAAGGAAAACGAAGGAAAACGAAAGAATGAAGATGACGATGAAAACGACAAAGGCTAAAGATTGTCTTGGAAACGTACTCCAGGCAACGAAGGAGACTACAACGTGAAGAGCACATCTACATTTATTATGCTTTCTTTCCGGCCGCTTAGAGTCAATAGATAAGGAAGTTCAAGGAAACTTTTGTAACAAAACAGAAGTAAGACTTATAAACCTCACAATTACAGAGTGAATGAAATAAATCAACTTCTCGACCCACGGTGATAACTAATAACGAAATGGCGCTGGTAGTTACACCACAATAACAAAAGGGAGTGAAATTATAATGGACTACACAGGATTCGACACTAGAAAGACACTCGGATGACACTAGAAAGACGTTACTACCCACTGGGCCACGAGGACACATTGGGAGAACGTTAGAAACGAGGTAAATTTTAGGGGATTTGTTTTGTTTCCTTAAATGAATTTGCTCACCAGTAAACACACAAAAAATAATATTTTTAATAAGATGTTCGAAGTTATCGAGATTGTCTACATCAGTGACAAAATTGTTGACACACTGCCTTAGTTAACACCCTATTACCTCAATTTAATCTCGTTTCCACTTGTTAAGCTAACCTATTCGCCCCCTTCCTCCCAAAACAATGTTGCAGCGTGATTCCATGAACCTTCAGCTACATACGGGCAACATTGAATGAGGAGGGGGTCTTGTCAATGATTTAGAGTGTGGAAGGGACAGGAGTGTTATTATACACGTATATAGGACTATTCAAACATGATGTATCAGCTAATCATGACGTTGATTGTAGGTAATCAGCCAAAATTCTTACTTGAAGCCATCATCAACACGACATTTGACGCGGTGAGTACCAAGCCCAAGATCCACATACTTCTGTCCTCCAAAGTACACATAATACTAGAAATACAGCATACCAAGAAATAAAACTTAACTTTCCCAAGCCTTTCCCACCTCAGCACATGTACAATACCATTGAAGACACGACTAAACATATACAATAACAGTCACAATACTCTTCAGCATAGTGTTACAAGTAGGGCATATTCCGCTTGGCCCCAACGAAAAGAGGCATTGCGAATGTTAACAACAAAATGTACAACATTTGCAACGGATATCTCACACCTGATTTAGGGCGTCGTATAGACTCTCGTAGAGACTTTCAAGGTTCAATAAGATCACTGTTCTTCCTGTCTCCATACAAACCTTGATGCGATTGATGTTGCGACAAATCTGTATATCAAGTTATTTACGTAAGTTGTACAGTTAAAACTATTTACTCTAAGACTCTCCTACTGAACACCAGAAACAATAATCTCTCGATTTGCACATGAAACTGAATTCTTTCGTAAAAAAATTTGTTCCTAGATCCATAAATTTACGTTTTCATGCCATCATCGTTTACCTCTCCCACAATCTCTAAAAAACATTTGATAGTAAGTCCTAAGTACACTGTCGTGCCAACTCAAAGACAAGTAAGTATTATCGTGAAATGTCGGACACCGACGCAAACTGTAATTAATAGGACTCTGTTAACAGCAATGTGTTATTTCTGAAGTTGAGAGGAGTATTGCCATTCTCGTAAGATATAAAGAGAGTCTTTCCTCCTTTGATTTTTACCTGAGTGTATTCCTGGTCATTTGGAAAACTACTTCCAAAGATGACAACTGCATTATCCGCTGTTCTCAAAAGATGCTGCTGCATGATGGGTAGGGCGGCGTAGTTTTCAGTCAGAATCAGAAGGTAACGGTTTTCACTGTAAGACATTAAATTAACATGAAAAGTTATCCCATCACTATTTTATACGACTCGACGACCAACAAACGAAGGAATAAAAAATGGGTTTGGATGAACTGTACATGTACCTGAAATTGGCTCTATCTGCTACGTCTTCCCTTCCAAGACTTGCCTCGATCAATCTTATTGTTGTGGTTTCGGCTACGTAGTCATCCTTCATTGACAAGGAAAAAGTCAGGTTAAGCAAGAAATTAAATCCTAAGCCACTGCTAACTAAATTTCCGAGCTAAACATACATGTATCAACCCGGTTAAAATAAAAACCCTTAAATTTTATATGAATAATCCTTTAGTGATTCCATGGATCATAATATCCCTGTATCGAACCTGTCGCCACGATTTAATGTACCATTTTGCAGTGATTTATGATTGGTTACATCGCAATCAAGTAGAGTGAACGCAATGTAGAAACAAGTTCGACACCAGCTAAATATTGTTCTATAGGTCAACTTACATCTTTTTCGGTATAGTAGCGTTTGAATATCTCTACAGGGTCTCCTTCAATCAGGCCACCAAAGTTCCTCTTGATAGCGTGTTCTAGTTCATGCCAGCGAGGTCTCTGTTGAGATTTTGCAGCGATTGCGTACACCATCTTAATGAGGCTTGCGTAAAGAGACAAAAGACGTGAATCACTTCGAGCACATAATTTCAAAGTATAATCATCATAAAAGAAGCGAGCTATATATGCTCTCAGATATCAAACCTGTAAAAGTCACGAAGACCGAAAAATTCTTCTTTGCCACATTTTTTTAACGTTGCAAAATGTTTCTGTTCCCTGTAAAGTTGTGCATATCCAGCGGCCAGTGGAGATATGAGAGGCAGAATAAGAGCTTTCACCACTTCATCCGTGGAGCAAATTCCCCTAGAAAACAATACTCAAATGTGTGAAGGAGGGTAAGGAACGTCTGTTTCCAAACCTGACTCAGAACCACGGAGGACTGACTCAAAACATTGCGAAATAGCACCTGAAAACATTCGGGGGAAGTTTTCTTCAATAGATTGGGAATTTGCCCGTGTTGTTGATTATGCTGTAAGTTATTGGCTAACATCGATTTTCGAGAAAACTGAGATATGACCACATCAAAGTGGATGGAGGTACTATAATTTTATCTCTAAAGGCCACCATTTTTAACGGAGATCAAAAGCCATTTGATCAATTTTATTCTAAAGTGTCTTTACCATAGTTATGACGGTCTTCACATGGTCCAACGAAACTAGTTGTGCGGCCGCAATAACGTTTTCCCATAGGTTAATATGAGTGCCAAAGCGAAAGGATACCAAAAACTTCACTTACATAGCACTGTCTATAAGTTCTTCCTCGCTTGGAACCCCACGCGACAGCATGATTCCACGGTTCATTTTGGCGGGATCCAAGGCCCAATTTGAGATTCCAATGAAAGCCACGCGCTGCGGTTTCTCGTCAGTTTCGATGACGTCATCTGCACTTGTTACACCATCCTCGAGTAATGGATGTAAAGTTTTAAGAGGCATGAGAGGAGAGTCTTCCGCCAGACCAACCTCATCAAGGACTACAACCGAAACAAACTTGTCTGGATTTGTTCCTTCCTGTAACTTGCTACACTGCTTGAAAGTCGCCACGATACCCTCAGGGGTTGAAAGAGGACTGCACTGATATGATGCCATGTGAACCTACCATGAAATAAATAATTTTACTGTCCTTAAAAGCGGACCTTGAGGTAAACACAAGCATGCTACGCATACAACACTTTTTGGGAAGGAAAGGATGTTAAAGGCGCTTGGTGTGACTGAAATTAATATCCTCTTCAATTCCAAAACGTAGAGGAGAAATATTGTGGATAACGCGAAGCGCGTAGAAACCTCTGGTGACCAAATGGCGAATGATTTACTAATATCCCCAAGAGATTCAACTATCTTCCATGAAAGTATGCTGGTCACCATTCGTACTTTTTGGTGCAAAAAGAAGCTGTTATAGTAATGTGTCTTGACCAGGTTAGCATGATAGCCCAGCCAAAGCTCAAACTTGAATGAAACTAGGACATTGACTACTGTGAGATTAACATATCGCCTACGAATTCCCATTACATTGATCCTAATTGCTCTCCACACAGGGAAAGAAGAAAATAACATTACAGTGTATCTGAAATGGCCATAAAACCTGCTTAAAGGTCTTGAATAGTGACGATCTTGCAGCATAACCTTGCATGTTATCAGCAACAACATTCTTAGCCAAAGATTTTGAGCTGCCCGGTTTCCCAACCACAAACAATGGAATCCTGAGCTCAATGCACACCACCATCATAAAAACATTTTCGCTCAAGGCTGCGTTGCGAGCAATGTTGGGGCCGAGTTCCAACTCCTTTAGCACAGCTTTTTGACAACTAGTACAAACAAAAATAGGACACATGAGATAACTTGCTTATTTGCATCTGGTAAAGAACTAGCGTAGGGAAACTCCATAACTCTTATCCTTTTGATCAAACCTCCGCCAACACCACATAAATGTGAAGCAAAACCTTCTTTGTCTTAACAACATACAAGGTTTACAACATTCAGTTGACTGGGCGCAATAAATATCTTTCTTTTTGGGTACGTAAAAGGTCCAAAAAGCTGGGTCATTAATTCTTTCGCATGAAGTAGACCTCGTTGCATTAGACTTTTCTCATACCTTAAAATCTCACGGTGTATCTGCTTGTGACCACCTGGAAGAAAACATGGCGCCTTAAAGCTGCGTGCCACGACGGTGCGATATTCTTCCCGCCGCTCCTGAAGTTTGGCATGATAACAGACACCAATGGCGAGTACCAGGGCACGGGTGAGAGGAGTGATTGAATCCTGCGGAATATACAATATCATGACACTTTTAAACATAATTCTTGCGGCCCCACAAACATAATTGGACTTCCTCAGTGATACACTCACCTATTTGTGGTTTGAGTAAGATGATGTCCTATAGCACCAAATTTTCAGTAATGCATTCTAGACCGTTGTTTTGTAGGATCATAAAATAATTCAATAAGGTAAATCCGAAGTGCCCAAAACGAGGAGCGTTTTCAAAGTTTACCCTTTTTGGTCCAATTTTCATGCAAACAAACTGACTATCAAGAAACATTTCCACCGGTTTGAGAGGGTTTAAAAACTTGAAAATAGTTCATTCTGGCATTCTATGGGATTGTTTATGACCCAAATCCTATTTTCGATATAATTTTATTTATTACGGCACAAAATGTCAAATAGCTTTATTACCACCTCTTCCTCCACATCATCTGCATTGACGTCTAAACCTACCTCCCTTCGTTGCTTAGCGGTCACCTCTTTCATAAGTCTACCGAGTGTATGCACGTGCTTATAGAACCAGTCCATCACTTGCATGGCTCTCTCCACATCACGAAGACTAACAAAGCTGCACTCATCCTTGATTAAAAAACAAAGGTTATTCTCTCTTTGGGCTTGCACCGCCACCGTGTGATTCAAAAAGCAATTTATAACACTAATGCATCTAATGCGCAAAAAGAGTGTTTTAAAACTTTTCACTTACCGATTGATCTCTCATATATTTTTGCGAGGCTGCCAGAACCTCAGCAACTGCTTCTACCGTCGAAGAGTTTCCTTTTAGTTGTCCTTTGTCAAGAATCTGTCATAAAAACAACCGAAACACAAAATAGTGAAATCAAATTGTATGAAAAATAGCCTTGGGATGAGTAAGGTGACGTTTGCTATCTTCAATCGTGGTTATTCCTGAAGAAAGAATAAGACAAAGCAACAACCCTACCCTAGTTTGGTGGACTGATGTTTCATTTCTTTAAGTATTTATCCATAAAATCAGAAGGTTATTAGTATCTAAATGCCATACTTCCTGTTCTCCAGCCTCGTACCATGATTCAGAACGATTATTTGAAAACGTTCCTTCAGCCCTCTAAAAAATGTCACGCATTTCTAGATTCATTTCCTTGACAATTAACGGCTGATAATTAACGGGTTAGAAAGACCTTCTTTTGAGTTCAGGAACACTGTTAGAATACACTTACGTAACGGCTGACAATTTGGTTAGTATACAGTCTTTCTTCATCTGCTTTCAGTTGACCAAAATCCCATACCAACGGGCGCATGCTCCCTGGGAGGGCGTGTACACGGTAGACGAGATGACGTAATGGGATATTACCTGTGGAGAACAATTATTACTATAGACTGATTTCCAAGCAACAGTTTAATTTACCACTATGCTTTACCGCATTTGCATGTGGGACACAATGTCCCTGTTCTTGACCGCAACTATTTTATGTTTTTTCAGAGCGTAACCCAACTTAGATGATCGGAGCCTGTCGTAACTGCCGGGGGTCAGCCAACAGGGAACTGTCGATGGGCAGTTGTCTGGTAGGAAAGTTCCTCCCTTTTCAGGAATCTTTCAACATTGAAACTTCACAAAGAATTCTGAACAAGGCCCCACCTGTGATCAATAGATTCGTTAACACTCCTCTTTTCACAGAGTCAATTTTCTGACAAAATTCTAAGGAAATTCAACCCTATAACGTCCCTCACCCAAACGATCTTCTGATTCATCTGTTTTAACGTGATATCCAAGACCAGCTGACTCCAGCTTGTGAATCATCTCGTCTCTGTGCCTAGAAATACATAAGGAAACAGCAATTTGCTCTTACCATTCATTTCTACGAAACTTTGCGCTTAGTTAAGCTTAGAGCGAAAGACACATGGTTTACCTTCTATAAGGATTACAGGCAGCAATAAACTGCAGCCTTTCTAGCCCTTGTCCAATAGGCCGACCATTGATTCTTCGGTCCACCATAACTTCCTTAATCATGGTCAGTGCCTCAGTAGTGTTGGCTTCATCAAAGAACAAAACCGTGTCAATGTTCTTTTCTTGATTTGTAAGGGCCATTTCTTCTGCTTGGTGAACTTTGAGTTTGATGTCTTCGTATGTTGTGCCACCATGAACCTTGAAAAGAAAATGATGTATGACGAAAGTATGATAGCATGTGTCATTCAATCCCAACAGAAAGGAGTGCATATGATGTCTTGAAACTGACGTAGCTCTTAAGTAGGTGTTGTTGAACTTATTTCTGGGGAAGATTCCCTACCACCAGAAGGAGCAATGCTGTCATCTCCCACCACAAGCAGCTCTACTGTCACGGCCAAAGTCACTACCACAACCATAAGCAGCAGGAGCATCAACAAAACTATAACTAACAGCCCAACTCTTCCAAACACCATCAGCAACAGCAACAGCAGCACCACCCCTGAACTCTACAGAAATACCCCAACTCTCCCCATTTTGCCTTTACCGTTACCAACATCAGTATTACCACCATCCTCACAACAACCACCATCTGAACCACAACCACGGAAAACAGCACCATTAAAACCATCCCAATCTCCATCGCTACCACTAGGCTGACCATTACCATCACCATCAGGATGAGCTCGTCACCAAAATTGCGTGATCACTACCTCAAAAGCTTCGCCATCTGCACCAACACTCGCATCACCATCGATACAATATTCAGAAGAGCACCACCACCAGCTTTATCATCACCGAAAACTTTCACCAAAAGCATTTCATCACAATAGCCTCCATCATAGTCAAAAACCTGTTACCCACCATTATCACCACCAAAATATGGTGTCGGTACGCTGCTGGTAGAACTAAATATTCGAAATTTAATCATCAATTTACCTTAAGGAGAAGCATGTTTCGGGGTCCTTTAGGCCCTGCTTGTAGGCCGCACATGTATCGAATGAGACGGGTCTTACCACAACCAGTCTCACCCATCACGATCACAGGAATGTTGCATCTGTAAATGTTAAAGCCCAGAAGTGAGTGAAAACCAAATCACTTTGTCAGACAATGGCAAAATAGCTTTGGAAAAGTGTTTAGAGTTTGTGTTCGATCTTTGTCAGTTTCGTTGCCATTTAGACTGAGAGTTGAATTTGCTCCGACCCTTGCATAATCTAACCATAATTTGTGGTCACAATGAAATGGGAATTCAAAGCAATATATCACCATCACCTGAATCTCATATGAATAGCCAGAATCTTCTTGACATTGTCTGTAGTTAATTCATAGGCTCTGTCTGGATCGTACAACCAGTTTACCCCCATCACAGAACATAACTGATTTATCTTGCCCTCCCTAAAACAGAATGAATATGTCATACAGAATTCATCACTATGGAACAAAGTGCCACGTAGGAAATAAAAGCTTTGGTGAAAATCTGGCTTCCCTTCTAGGAGGTACAACGAGGCCAGCAGAACTATCCCCCTAAATGCCGTACGCCATGGATCCCTTTTCCAAGAATTTTGCCAATCTTACCACACACTTCATAAAAAACAATTTATCAATTACGTCCCTTGAACATTTCAGCACTGACTTTCAACCCTATCAGAAATCCTGAGCGTTGACTCCTAAAGAACCAGGGTTAATTGTAATAACTCTGTTTGAAAGACAAATAGCTAAAAATGGGTTTACCGTCTAGCACTTACTTTTTGGAGGTCTCCATGTTTGTTGCAAAATGGACACCTTGGGCCCGCAGACCATCTCGTAATTGCCTGGACATTAAACCTTTCTCCAGAGTTTGACTTGTTTCTCGGTCAACAACATCACCAGCAAAATTGACGAAGAAACCAAGAAACGTCAGAGTTATGTGGTCTTGGTTGAAGAAAAGGTATGGATGAGGACTGAATAACAAAAGAACTATCATGAGACAAACTGCGTACAAAACATGGGCGATTAAAAGCGAAGAAATAGTCCTTTTCTGGGAATTTTATCACAAAATGAACTTGCAATACGATTGCTGCTTGAAAGTTAACCTGTCTAAGTTAACTCATCACAAAACAATTGGCAACAATAATCTAGAAAAATGTGGCGTTTTGAATTATAGCAAAAAGATAGTTAAGCTCTCACCTGCTTTCCCAGCGTCTTCTAGGTTGAAACTGTTCGATCTCTTGTCGTTCAAGCTCTGCGTTATCCTCTGTATAGAATACAGTGCTCTCTTCCGTCAAAGATGGAGTAGCAAAATCCTTAAAGTAAAGGAAATAACTCTTCATGTACTTACTGCTGATGAAAAGCCATCAAGGGATGTAATAGAACTCAGAAGCTCCACTAATCAAGGTAATGAATTAAAACCCAGTATCCGAGTTCTTTAGTTCCGAAGACTTGTCTGATTAATTGATAAAGAGATTTTAGTACAGACTGCTAAAACATACATTGTAGATAGCGACATTACATGAAAACGACGAAGTTGACACGTGCAACTAATTTTGAAGATAAAAGCCAACGTCTAAGTAAAGAAAACTTTCACCTTTCCTCGGCTACACACACATCATTCTAAATAACCTTTGTGTAATAGTTTTTCTCTGCGGTAACTGTCCCAGAGTCATCAAGACGCTATAAGAAAGTTGGGTGAGCGAAGATTTGAAAAGCCAGCCTACCCTTGACATTTGTATCATAAAGCGCACAACAAAAGAGCGGAAGCCTTCAAGATTCGGCACGTTGAGTCCTTCTAAAACAGCCCCCATTAGCTGCATGTTACAATAACAACTCTGTTCACAGTCTCGGAGCTGCGAGTTCAAGAAACTCACAAAATGACGAATCTCTGACCAAGAGGGATCAGGAATACCGCAATTCCTGCAAAGGAAAACGGTAGTAAGTAACCATGAGACCAAACACGTTGTTTAAACAACCTTCAACAAGGAGGAGATTTCATTCCTTCCCTCTATGTTTTTGCCTAAGCGTCAAGTTAGAAAGGGACGTCTCCCTTACCAGAAACCTCTCATATTCTAATTTTAAATTGTTAATGTACCTTTCACCTAAGAAATAGTCTGCAAACAATATCTTTAACAAGTTAGAGCATCCAATTAGGTACATGCAACAAACCTTAGAAGGAGCATAAGGCATGTCATTAGATCTTCATCAACATTTCCTGGCGAAAACGTAAAATTGTCAAGACTCTTTCCTTCATTTAACAGTTTGAGATATTGATAAACCCTCTGGAACGGTGTGTTTCGAAACTCTTTGACGTCAAACAGTGGATTACAGTCCTGTTTATCTGGAAAAAATTCAAGGAAACTCACTATAGAATCAGCTACTTATTGATGTTTGAAGTAGAATCTCAGTTCAATACCTGGAGTATCCTCTAAACGGCAGAGAACAGTTTTTGGAGTTTGACACTGAATAGTTGGTAGCAGGTCATAAAATGGCCGCTTAGACATTGTGGATTTTCCAGATTGTCTCTGAAAATCAAAAGAGTGGTAGACATCACAAGTAGAAACAGTGAAGGACACAAGTTACTTTCCCTAAAGCAACGGATATTTAATTCACTTCTTGAACCACCAAGATTGCAACCCATGAGCTTCCAGGCCCCATGCTCTAGGAGCACTCGCTTTCCACCGTTGGGGCACGGGTTGGATTTCCAAACTACATATCTTCACAAGTGGGTAACCTCTCTTGTTTGATCTGTATACTCCTTCCACAAAATTTAGCCTCTGAAATTTTAATTCACCGACAAAACAATGGACGAAGAACCTCTCCCTGATTGTGCTACTTCATTATTCTGTTGATTTATTATCCATAGATGACATTCTCCCTCTCTCACTTATTCACTCACCCCTTGACTTTGAGCTTCTTCCTCCCTAGTGAAACCCATGGGTAGGGGAGCAGCCGTCGTAATCTCAAAGATGTACAAGTCTGTGCTTCGTCTCCTCCACACTCTCCCCATCTTGTCACAAAGGTAGCCGAGGACAAGGAGGTTGAAAATAAGGGTGTCCAAGCCCCGTCTCATCTAAAAGGAGGACATAACATCTCATAAAATATTGAGATAAGTGAATTAAGTCTTTGTCACATTAACTGCAATTCAGCAGAAGATTATGTTCAGAGCCTGAAAACCTTTAAGAAACTTAAATTCTGAATTTTTTGCTAGTGCTTTCCTAACAGCATTAAATGATGTGAAATTTACTTCGAGTAACGTTCGTTCAGGATCTCATTGACAACACTTGTTACATAAACAATGTTAATCTAGCCCTTTGACGCGACTGAAGATACGAGCTGGTTGTGCATTTTACAAGTATTGGCCACTGGAAATATTAATTCAAGTTTCAACTCGCATGCGTTTAGTATCTTACCGAAGGCGATACGTCCAGATGGAATATACGGGACAGCGGTACATCTGCCTTCACTGCATGCGGAAGAAGCGCATCAACAAGCATCGACGAGTCTGTGGAATTCCCATGAAGAGGTATGGTCACGTGCAAGAATGTTTTTGAGTCTTGTCTTCGCAAATTTTTCATAACCATGTCGTTGTTTACGAGCTTAGGCAGCTGTTCTGCTAAGCGACGAACAAACAGAGTCTTTCCCAAACCTCCACGGTGTGATGAGACAACTCGAACGGAGAGTCTAAAAAAATCAGTATGCACCACTCCTCATCAAAAGAAGACTGCTTTTTCGAACCACATAACAGGGTTTCTCTTTTTAAAATCTTCCATTCTAGGAACAGAGACTTAGTCAATTTGAACGAAAAACTTCTTTTAACTGTATTGAAGGGAAAAGTTTTTCCTAAACATTTTCTACCTCCAAGGCCAGAATAGAGGCTCCCCTGTCTTAATCTCTAGGAACATCAGTGAGAACTTACTTTTCTGGGTCTAAGGATCCAGCCGTTGTCCAAGTAATCTTACTACCACTGATGTATCCGTATTGAGAAAGAGGTGCTTGGAACTTATGCTTGAGGTAGCTTTTCAGGTCACCTGGCGAAGGACAGGGTGGAGCAGCAACACGATACTGATCAAGAGCTGCAATTATGTTGGCACGATCTTCATTCTCGCTACTGCAGATTACCACCAGGCCACAATCTGAGAAGTAACAAAAACCACCGACGATTCATACCCATAACCTTGGCTTTTCGATGAGAAACATGTCATTTAATTCAAGTGAAACTCACCTTCTCGAGCCTTGCCAGCAAGTCCCCGTGTCACTACACTAAGCATTTCCACTACTTGCTTACTGACTGAAAAATCCAACACATCTGCGTGTACGAGACAATAAAATCGACCCTCCATGTCCCCTATTGCACGTCTCCACAGCAACTCGATCTACGACAAAGGAAATCAAATAGAAGGCAGAAAAAATTTAATGATTGAGCCACTCAAATCATAGGCGGAAAATTTCCCTACCTTTCTTAATCTGCTGAATACGAAAATCAAGAAGTGGCGTTTTAAGCAACTAAGCTCCTCGACCCAATTTTTTATTAACGGTATATAGGTGGGGAAATATATTAGGAAAATCCTTCCGAAATGTAAACTGTACCTCTTCTGTGGTGGTATCAGGAGTGCAAAGGAGCACCTCTTCATGGCTTGGCAAAGGCTGCTTTTCGTCATGCATATAAAGGGCTAGGACTGTAGCAAGGATGTCATCTACAACAAAATGGGTAGAACAAAGAACAAATCATAGTAGAGAAAACATGCTGTCGTGTAAAGTAAGCAAGATGGGAAATATAGGGAAGCAAAACCAAAATGATTTTGGTTATTGGAACTTTAGAACATTGTACCGATATGATTAGGTACTCCCTGGGTTCCTGTTAGACTTACCTCTAGGAACAATCATAAGGTTGGGACATCCTCTTTTTAAGAATGCTGGAAAGGTGCGAGCTGTCCCTCCAATTACTGAAATGTGAAATTAACATCGTATTCATTGTACAGCAAATACAGATAATTTTGACATCACAGCTGTAGATTTTTCATTGGTCTCAGCAGCGTTTTTAGCAGTTTTGCATGAATACAAGTGAGTGTTACCTGGAGCTGAAAGTTCTCTTAGGATGTTTCCAAGCTGAGTGAGTGTAAGATATTGACTGATCTCTGTTTCATTATCTTCGTCTTTGCTAACCGCCTCCTCTGTAACAGCGGCTGGCATATCCTGACTAATAGACTCCACCTTCTCTAGGAAGAGTTCTCGGGTAATCATAGGATTTTTCTTCGCATCTTCGTAAAGAGCCTCGATGTCAGCCTCGTCGGCTTCTTCTAGACACCACAACAGTAAGTCGTCTTTTTCTGCATCAACACCTAGACTCGCCAAAGCAGCCAAAGCGATCTGCTCCGAATAACCATCATCGGCAGCTGCATTCAAGAAAATTTGAATCTTTGATGTTTCCTTTGGCTTCGGTTTCTTGACAATTGAAGTTTGTACTTGACACGTACTCGTTGCTGTTGAGGAACTCGTGCCCAAGTAATTGCTGTTGTCAAACACTGACCTGCGAGTCACCATTCCGTCGTCTGAAGGAACGTGAGCGAATGAAGACAGCTCCGCTGTTCCTCTGGGGTTCTCCAGTATTTTTGTGTCCTTAAAAGCACGCTCTATTGCTAATTTTAACTGTGTGCTGGTCAAACAAGGACAAACACTTTCCAGCAAAGTGAGCACTTGGATGTTTTTCATAGCAAGGTCGTTGCTGTGGCAAACTGTGGCGATTTCTTTCCTCAGTGTCATCAACTGCTGCGTGGTAAAGAAATTCAATTCTCTATACTCCTTCCTTGCATCACTGACCTTCTTCTTCCAGTTCTTGTAACACTTTTCGATGACCGATCTTTCATTATCCAATTCCTTCTTGATAGACTCGCCTTCGACTTGATCTTTGCTACAGTGATATTCTTGGCTCCAATTCATACGATGAACGTAACCAGATTCAAAGAGGTCGATGTATGCAGTTGCTAGACGCATGACACCTTCAAAATTCTATAATTAGATAAAAATATTTTATGTGAAAAGATAGAGGGGCCGCAGCCAGGATAAAACATCTTATGAAATTTAAAAAACGATCTCTGGCTAAAACTTTTAAAAATACGAGCTTTCGGCTGTTTGCGCTACAGCCTTCAACGGGTAAAATGATAAAAAAGGTAACAAATATACTAGGTGTGAAGTACAAAGTAAAAATTAAAAATGCTGATAACTAAGAATGTTTGTTAAAAAGAATGTTGTATTGTCCGGGCAAAGGACAGGAATTGTTGTCCGCATTGGGAGTTAACTTGGAATGCCACGCTTCTAGTATTTTTCTTGTTCTAAAACCGCAAGTCGGTCAAGTCATCAAGCAAGTGTTCGCCTCTCTTCCATACATTAAAGGCGTAACAGAACCTCTGACTCGTGTCCTCAAAAAACACGACATCACAGTGGTGAACAAACCACTCATCACCCTTCAACAACAGCTCCCGGCCCCAAAATTGCGACCATTGTTGGAATCGCAAACAAATGTTATTTATAAAATTCCTTGTGGTGACTGTTCAAGGTGTTATATTGGTGAGACTGGCAGGGCCTTCAACACAAGAAAGAAAGAACACCTCAGAAATGTGAAAACCGCGGCAAAAGGCTCAAGAATTGCCAATCACGTCTGGGCCAATAGTCACGCAATAGACTTTGATAATGCATCTATTATTGACAAAGGTGGTTTTAGAACAATTTCAAGAACATTCAAGAACATTTTTAGAACATTCCAAGTTAACTCCCAATGCGGACAACAATTCCTGTCCTTTGCCCGGACAATACAACATTCTTTTTAACAAACATTCTTAGTTATCAGCATTTTTAATTTTTACTTTGTACTTCACACCTAATATATTTTTTACCTTTTTTATCATTTTACCCGTTGAAGGCTGTAGCGCAAACAGCCGAAAGCTCGTATTTTTAAAAGTTTTAGCCAGAGATCGTTTTTTAAAAATATTTTAGTCTACCAGTACAGTACTTATTCGATTAAATGCCGCCATCAAATAAACGCTGCATTTTAGAGCAGAAATATCAATAAATACCGCCCTCAAATAAACTAAAAAAGCACACAACAGATTGTTGACTACTAAGGCAATGATATAAAGGTTGGTGGTTGATCGCTATTAGCCTAAGACTCCTTTTAGTGCCAAATCGAAGATAGCATTACTCATGCATTGCACTAAACAAAATCGATCTAGTAATTGTGCCAACAGAGTGCACCAAGTATATCCAGGCACCAGATGTTTGCTGGAACAAGCCGTTCAAGGCCGCTTGCTCTAAAAGTATGATGAATGGCTGGGTACCGTGCTGGAAATTTAAAAGAAACCCCGAGAAGAACCATCTTGCAGCGGGCTCTTGATTCTTGAGCATAACTATCCATTGGGGTCATCAACAAATCTCTCTGAAGCTGCGCGTTGGACGAGTCGTAAGACAGTGGACGATCGATCGATGGAAATTCGGAGTGAATCAGACACAGATCCTTTTGAATGTATCATTTTTGATGTCGAGGAGACATAGCCGACATTACATCTTTTGGACTCGGATCATGATGAGGAGAGTGACAATGAAATTGTGTGAACGTTATTCAATTTCTTCACTTTATGTATTGCAGTAGTATTAACATGCAAATTATAAAATTGAGAACGACACAAAAAATGACTTTTGAAACAAGCACTAAAACATATTTCTGTTTTTAAAAATAAAAATGATTAGTTACCATTCAATTGTTTGCAAAAAATGGATTGGATATCTAATAAACGTCGCCCTCGTATACACACCACCCTCGAATAAACGCCGCACTCGAGTAACAAAAAATTTAATAAACGCCCCAGTGTTTAATCGAATAAATGCGGTATCAGACAACAACTCAAACGGAAAAAAAACTGTCCACACGATTATTGTATTTTCACTCACCCTAACGAACTGCTCCACGTCATCCTTCCTTTTTTCAGCCTTCCCTGCGATCAAAATTAGTTTACTCTGCAAATCCCTTAGTTCGTCAATAGAATACGTTTTTCTTTGTTCCTTTTCACTTCCATCTTTAAAGGGAACCGTCAGTCGGATCACATCTTTGTATGACAATCGTTTTCCTTGTTTTGCAGATGGATCTTTACTGCTATCCAAATGGCCCACAAGGTATACACCACTGGAATTGATCGTCTTAACCTGCACTAATGACGTCATAGCAACCGAGCCATGAGACTCTTGGACAGTTTTTAGCCACTCCAGATGTCTGTTAGTGTCGCACTACGAGAAACAAAGATGTCGGCAATCAATCACATATTTGGTCCCACTGGTTAAATTCCTTTTTGTGCAGTAGAGTATCATGAGGTAAAATCAAGGCAGGCGAAGACTGGGTCAAACTTTATAACCCTCTCATGTTTGCTAAACGGGAACGTGTTGAAAGGTAGAAGTTTGTAAGAAATGGCCGTAAGCCCAGCCAATATTGCGATATTTGAATTGGTTGTTGATGGACGTTTTCATGATTGGAACTTCATTACTTAGTCACGACAATAAGACTGAAGAATAAGACTGAGAATATGTATAAAACCTAACTCGAATTCATGAGTGCAAAACAAGTAAAGGCATTCCAAAAGAGGTGAATCATCATCTTCTGTAAACTTTTAAGGAGTTAAAGGGAAACAAGATGTTCGGTAGGAAAACAATCCAACGGTTTCATTCTGTAATTCTGACATTGGGGATGAACTTTGTTCGTTTGTCTCACGATAGTCACTTTTGATGTTGATCGCGACGTTTCGACTGCAGTACTGCTAGTCTTCATCAGTGGTGTTGTTGTTACCTTTTTTATTAATTATTTTCACTTGTTAAACAATTTCCTCTTTCTAAAGTTGAGAAGCCCGTGCCTCCCATAAGGCATAGCGGTCTTGGAGCGAACACGAGGAAAACGAGTCGCCATGTGTGTTGCTTTCATTAGTTCGCCGGCGGATTTCTGAAAGCTCCCACATAATGTGAGTTCTTTAGTCGAAAAAAAGACAATTCAATGTTTGAAATTCCCAGGTTTAGCTATCGCTCGTATATTTTCCATTTAGCAAATCGTGTAAAGGTTAAGAAGTGTATGTAGATCTGACCTGATCTCGATTGTTGGAGTTTTTGAATAAATTGTGGATTTGCGACTACAAGTGTTCCCTCCTAGATCCTCATAAATCGGCTGTTGGTGTTGTTTGATCGTGGCTATCCAAGCTTTGGGAGTTTCGATTCCGCTATCCCTATATATGTTGTTGGGATGAAGTCTTATATGGATAGCCTCTTTGACCCTAATGCGACTTGCAAACCTAAGATCTGGAAACGATATGTAGATGAAACTTTCAGTCTGAGACCGGGACCATTTCAAGAGCTTTTTACCACATCTAAAAAGGCAACAGCCTACTATTCCTTCTACCATGGAAATCGAGAAAGATAGCACCATTCCTTTTTTCGACACAACAGTTACAAGGGACTCAGACGGTCCTCTCACTACCACTGTCTACAGAAAGCCCACCCACACTGACCAGTACCTAGCCTATGACTCACACCACCCTCAGTCAGTGAAGAGTGGTATGGTTAAGTGTCTATACGACCGAGCCAAACACCTCACAACGAAACCGTCAGTTATCTCTGAGGATCAGTGCTTGTTTCTGGTGGTTATCCTTCTTCATTTGTACTAACTCGCAAAGCCAACAAGGGTAACACTCAACAAAGAGCCCGCGCAGGAATTTAAATCTACTGCCGTTCTCCCTTACATAAAGGGTGTATCAAAAATTCCTCGCCGCTGTGTATAACATCAAGGCATACGGACCGTTTTCAAGTCGGACGCAACACTTAGGTCTCACTCAGTACGACCTTAAGACGCCCTGGAACCATTAAAACCAGACGGTGTCGTTTACAAGATCCCATGTGAATGCGGCAAAGTGTATATAGATGAAACTGGGAGATCAGTGGGAGAAAGGATAAAAGAACATGACGGAGACATACGGTTTGCTCGTACTCAGACCTCTCTGGTTTTGGAGCACGCTAACGAAACGGGGAATTTTTCTATTTGGAGAGAGGATAAGTTTATTGATCGTGACTCCCACTGGTACACACTTTGGGTCAAAGAGGCTATCCATATAAGACTTCATCCCAACAACATCAATAGGGAGTTCAACATCAACAGTTGGGAATGGGGCTAGCAACCACGCTGTCGTGTGCTCTCTTTTTCCTCTTTTGTCTTTCCTTGCTCCGCATTCGAGAACGTTGTAGTTACGACACAACTTACAAATATGGTTTGCTGTCTCATGCTGCTTGCTTTACTGACGACACATCGAGTATTTGGTGGCTTTTGGACTTCGACAGGCGAACCTCGTGCTGGCATACAAGATAGCAGCGATTCTACTTTGGGCTGAATTCCCCCTTGTGCGCATTCTTGTTTGTGGCGACATTTCTTCCAACCTGGGTCCTGCATCGATGCCAGGGAGGACCAGCTGTAAAATTTCCGCACAGCCCCATACTACATTACGCATTCAGTTCTTGAACAGAGAAAACAATGACAAAAACAATACATTGCCATTGGGAAAACAGATTTGTTTTACAATAGTATGGGGCTGTACGGAAACTTTACCGGACCAGCTTATCTGTTCTGTATTTCAATGCATGTTCGCCGGTAAATAAGACAACGTTCTTGGAATCTCAGCTCGCTCGTAAGGGTTACGACACTGTCGTTGTTACGGAGTCTCACCCAGATGATACCATACTTGACGCGGAATTATTCCCATCGAACTACGTTATCTACTATCGCAAGGATCGAAATAGGAAAGGCGGGGTTGTCCTTTTGGCTGTAGGAGACGAAATTTTATCTACACGTCGTAACTGTGATCCCAATTCAGAACTCTTGTGAGTCGATATTTATATGGGAAAAACAAATCATCTACATTTGGAGTTTTTTACCAGCCGCCAAAAATTTAATTGAGCCTCTGGTTGACTTGAGTGCTTCCCTAGACGAGTTCTACGACTCTGCTGAGATTGTATTGGTCGGCGATTTTAACCCTTCGGACATCGACTGGTCTACTACTTCTGTTCTCCGTGATCCTGACGCAAATTGCAGACTAATGGATATTCTTCTGCATCATTTATGTCACAACAAGTGCTGGAACCTACTCGCGGAAAAAAACATCTAAGATATCGTGATAACAACAACGAGGGGTTGATTAGAAATCTACAAGTTGGCGAACCTTTCTCCGATCACAACTCCATTGCTTTTGAAGTTAAGATATCATCGTCTAAGAATCCATCGCATAAGAAGGTGAATTTGGATATGCTAAATGAACTGTTTAATTTTGTTCCGTGGACCTGTGCTTTCTTTACTGATGATGTTCAGGAAAACTGGCTAATGTTTAAAGATTTACTCTTTACAGCAGTTGAGACCTGTATACCAATTAAATCGCCAAGGAAAATGAAAAACGCACCGAGGCTGACGCCGGATTTATTGACTGACTAGGCAGAAAAAATTTGTTTACAAAAGTGCCAAGACATCAAATTCTGACAATTTTTGGACGCGTTACCGAAATTTGAATAAAGGAACAAAGAAGGCGTGCAATCAAGCGCGCTGGGAATACCTTAAACAATTAAGTGTCAAAACTGCAAACGAAGGCGTTAGCAAATTGTTTTAGAACTATGTTCGCTCACGTCGGAATGCAACAAAAAACCTTGCGACACTTAAAGTAGATAGAGACTCTGACCTATCACAAAGACACTACGAACAGTTTCAATTCCTATTTCGCCTCTGCTTTTACATCAGAAAACTTGACTCATCTTTCAAACTTCCCGCAAGTTGTCAGAACTGAAAATCTCAAATAGGTATCAACTACTCCCATTGAAGCTGGAAAGCTATTGCGGAAATTAAATGCCGATAAAAGTTGCGGCCCTGATGACATTCATCCAAGGATTTTGAATCATTATAGTAACTCACTGGATTCCCCCTTGTATGCTCTGTTTAATACTTCATTTAAATGTAGTGTCATTCCCGACGGCTGGAAAACACGCTGGGACGGCTAACAAACACTGCATGCTAGAATTTAAGTCTTACTATTTAGTATTCGTATCGGTCGTGTCAGTGATAGTTGTTGTCCAGCAGTCGTCTTCGAATTTGTAATAGTTGAAGAATTTACTGTCGAAACAGAGGTCTTATCTATCTGTCCTAGAGCTACTTAATGGTCTTAATGCCCTCAACTGTAATGATTATTTTGAATTTAATTGTTATGGTAAAACAAGATCAAACCATTCATTTAAATTAAGACAACCATTAGCTAGAGTAAATTGTTTTCTGCCCTCGTTCTTTGTTAGAACTAGTAAACAGTGGAACGCTCTTCCTAAGGAGATAGTGCACGAACGGGATTTCAGCATTTTTCGATGTAAACTTTGAAAGTATTGTAAAATTTTGTACTTTTTTTTAGTCATTTCCTATTTATTCTTAAATTTTACACTGTAGTATATTTATTTTATATTTTATGTAAGGAGCGTCCTCGATAGGGATCACCTCTGACGTTTCCTTTTATGTATCCTTACATAATGAAATAAATTTGATTTGATAGGGATAGCGGAATCGAAATCGCCGAAGCTGGATACCCACGATCAAACAACACAACAGCCGATTTATGAGGACCTATACCTATGAAGGAACACCATCTAACAACCGGAATAAAAATGAGGATCGAAATGCACCAATAGCAGCATACCAACGTGCTACAAATAGCGACACGTAAACAATCGACTTCATCGCCTGATGAAGACTGGCAGTATTGCAGTCGAAACGTCGCGATCAACATCAAAAGTGACATTGTCAGATTCATTGACAAGTGAAAAGTTCATCTCGTATCTTACACCACAGTGAACAACAAAGACATATTTTACTACAAATTCTGATATTTTACCAGCTTTTTGGGCAACGTCTGATCTGTTTCAACTGATTTCCACACAGAATCACAGGCGTTCATCAGTTGATCAAAATTCACTCTTTCTTCTTCACTCTCTTTGAGGTCAAATATCAGTGGAGTAAAACCTAGGCAGCTGGTATGTAGACTGGATATGCGTTCAGTTTCCATGTCGTTTTCACCAGCAGAGATCAAGGCCAAGTCAACAAGAACCTTAAGCTCTTGGGTGGCTGTGAAACAAAAGATAAGTAACGATGTTCATTACTTTTCCAGACTGACGCTCAAGTGAGTAATTCTTCCAGTATGTATAATACAAGCGAAAATCAATATTTTCTTGCGTCGCGGAAAACATAAATCTCTGTTGAATGTTAGGAAAGCTGGCGAAATCAGGGGTAGCAACCTTGGAGATCGATTATGGCAACGGAGGGTAGTAGTGATTCGTCTAGTGTTTCCGTTTCAAACTCTACGGCCACTAACCACCGCATGCCTCAACTTACATTTGATAGTAGAACGTAACCACTCCACCAGCCGTTTACTGTCCACCACCGCTTTGAGGCACTGAGCCTTATTGAAATCCAAACATTGAAGAGCTTGACTGGCCTTTGCATAGTTTTCCCCAATGCTGTGCAAGGACTTTTGCTTAAATTCTACTGATAGCTACATTAAAAAAGTAAAATGGAACACGCTTTAATCGCATACTGTAATTTAGTTAAAGGTGCACTTCTCGTTTGCAGTCGCCGATAGCTTTCTGTTGTGCAGAATCTGTCTTAAAATGAAAGTGCACCTTTTTCCTCAAATCAAACTTCAAGACTTGACTAAAAATTAACAGAGCTTCCTCAGTTTGGGTAGAACATTTCTAATGTCACGGACAGAAATTGTTAGTAAAGAAGTATACTCTTTCGCATCACGATGTAGTCACTTCCAGATGTGGTTGGCGACGTTTCGACCGCACATCTTTGTCTGTTTCGGGCGCTTGAAGAAGACCAGCACCTGGAAAAGACATCGCTCTCTAGATTGGCAGTGACCCAATCGTGAGACGAAGGAACATATTTAACTACAAATGCATTCACCACGATAGACAACTGCATCCCATTCTAGGAAAGATACTCTTGTTCTCTTTCTCAACCTACTCGGTATCGACCATAAGCAACAAGGACTATGATACCTGATCACGCAGATCTTCAACAACTTTGAAGTTCCCGGTAAAACCCATTGCCTCTTTAAACTCCCAGATGGTGTCTGCTGCATTGGAGTACTGATAAAGCTGTTGGTAACGTTGAATTTGAGCAACTCGCTCTCTGACAGTTTTATTTAATTCTTTGACGTTTGTGGTTGTTTGACCTTTGTTCACTTTAAACATGCAGGATAACTCTCCCTCGAGTTCACTTTTGCGGTTTCTATAGTCGTCAAAGAGCTTGTCAACATCTCCAAGAGAAATTGTTCCATCTTTGACACCAGCAACATTCTTGGTCCAACTTTTAAAAGCTGGTTTACAAACATTTTCAACGACATCGGAAAGACTGAGGTGTTGTTTTTGCGCCTTGTCATTGTTTCTATCACTTTGGGCTTTGAGCCCATACTCCTTCCAAAGGGCTTGGAACGTTAAACTCTCTCCAACTCTTCCAAGGATCGGGAGAACCTCCTTTTCAGGTGGGGTTAATTGGAATAACGTGATCTCGATTTTGTTGTCGTCTAAGTGTTTGCACAAATCACGAATCTGGTATGATGTAGCATCCAGATGCACTCTACTCCTAAGGTTGCCCAAGTCGACTGTGGAGAAAATGATCACTTCCTCAGTTCTTCTATTCTTTCTCATTTCGAAGGTGCATTGTATGTGTAAAGGAATCATAAAATGAAGCTCATTCTAAGCTGGGCAAGATCTAAGTCTATAGATCTAAATAAGTGTTTGTTAATTTATTTCTAATTATTTCTTTCCGACACGGAGACCAATCAAATGGCGACCGAACTTGAGGATAATCCGAATCGCCTCACGTAACTAAAAAAGGGAATGAAAAGCCACAATGATGAGCAGGTTGGCCTTCTTTTAACTGATAAACTCACCCTTACTGATGCAAGAACGAGAAAGTGATTGAAATGATATGCACAATAAACACCGTTCCTTGCCGCCAAACATATGCAAACTAAAAGCAAATTTATCACATGAGCATAAATCTTCACTTTCTGATAAGATGCACAAGTGTCCGAAGGGAGATTTAAATTGGTGCAAATGCAAAATTTTTGGGCAATGAAAAGGCATTTAGTACAGTATAAGAATTTTGGACGTAGTTATAGGAGCAACACATGACTGGCTGTTAAAGGATTGAAAAAACGGATTCCCTTTCGGAGCTCACCAGGCGGGACCACATCACACAATGCAATAAATCTTTCAACTTTTTCCCGTACTGTGTGAAATTCCTCAATTTCTTCAATTCGCTGGACCAAGCTAAGCTCAGCATCATTCTCTTCTACACCGGATGTTGTCTTCAAAAGTTCTAAAAACGTTGCTTTATGCTCCTGGACAAGAAGTAAAACTTCGACTGTTACTGAGCCATCTGACATAATTCTTACAAGAGCGTCCAGTAACAACTTAGCCTGAAACAACTTTTCCTGGCCTGTAGGCGAAAGTATTCCACCTCTTCCAGACTCATCTCCTGTAAAGTGAAATAATCAATTACAGTGTACACATTACGAGGTATTAGAAACTGAAATTGAAGTATTTTCCTCTGTTTGAGAGCTTCACATTGCCTAGATTTTGATTTTTTTCCTATATATGCTTTCCTGTCTTATAATAAAGCTATCACTCTAGAACCTACGGAAACGTTTGCCATTTGAGTTCATCCTTCAATGGTACAAGTATACAGCGAGTTATGCAAAAATACACACATTAATTTTGAATTTAGCGTCTAATGTAGTATGATAGTGAACTGGTTTTGCTTCCAAAGCTAAGTGACTGGTCAAGAAAACTCGCACCATCGTCTCAACCAATCAAAGGCAAACTAAAAATAATGACCCCTCAGTTATTCGCGCTTTCCCGCTCATTGGTTACAACTAGCTCATTGGCTCATTGGCTCATTGGCTCATTGGCTCATTGGCTCAGTGTGGTTTAGGTTTAACGTGCGACTTTGGGCAAGGTCTAAATACAGCTGAGTTATACATTGGACAGATATGATCTGAGCTTACCAAAGAATTTGAGGTATTTAGTCATAGGTTTCCAGGTCAGAAGAAATTTAACAGTCTGAGGATCTAAAGAAGACGTGTGTGTCTGTTGTCCTTCCTTTGGCCAGTTCTTTGTGAGCAACATCGACAAAAGCTCGCCATATTTTCCTGCTTTGGAGTGTGTATCAGGTTGATTACAATTATTTCTCATCACGTTAAATACTCCCTCGTCCACCCCTAAATTTGCAGACTAAATAACAAAAAAAAACAGAGAACTATTAATCACCGTTGCAAAATTAGCCAACCTAACTCCGACTAAAATAAGTAAGCCGCCATCATCATGATTTAAAGGAGCGTGGGCGGAGTTGATATGCCAGGCTTTTAAACAAAGGCCCTGGTGGTAAAGCCAACTAGTGGTCATAATTGTAGACTTATCCCACCCAATTTTATGGTTGGTTAGGCATGTATGCTCTGATAAGGCTGAATTTTCTTTTTTGCAAAAGAAGAACGCTTTTTAATGCTCTTTCAAACGTGTACCAAACTGACGTTTGGTCTGTCCGACATACTCGTTATCACAGAATAGAATAAATAGCGTCGGTTCGTTGTTCTTTCGTGACAGGATCCTTAGGTTTGGCAAAAATATGCCCTAAGGTCTGAAAAGGTTTTTGTGCAACTTTAACGGTGTGGCTATTCAAAATTCTCTTGATGGGTTCCGTAACACCCTGAATGTAGGGAATAACAGCAAATCCAGTCGCTGGTTCCCTCTCATCAGGAGTGTTAGTAGTTGGCATATCAACTCCGCCCACGCTCCTTTAAATCGTGATGATGACGGCTTACTTCCTGGCGTATAAAAAGACCTCTTGTTGTAGCATTTAGATCACCCCTGATGAAGGCACTAGACAGGAGTGTCGAAACGTTGGGTCTATGAATTGTAACTTCTCGGTTCTTTGATTAAATCTATAGACCACCAAACCATGTCTTAACTCTAATTCATGATGAAAAATAAAAAGAAAGTTGAGTATAAAAAAGTAAGTCTAATATAATCAGAAAAAGTATTCTCCCACCCAGGTTTATCAGTTAAATGTTACAATTCACAATTTTCTGACTTTAACTAAAAGCATGCCCACGCTTTCGGAAGCGTCACTTTGTCTATTTGTTTAATTGATAGTGTCTAGGTTAGTTGGTGACTTGATTTTTTTCTTCGCTACTTTTGCAGTTACCGATTACCCAAAAAAACTATGCCACCACCTGGCCATCAAAAAAGCTAATCACTACAGGATAAACATACCTAGATATCTTTTATCCCAGTGAAAATGTTATTACTGAGGACAACAGGGTCGAAAAGACGAAATCTGAATTTCCCATGAGAGGAAAAAGGTTCAGAACTTGACACACCGCAGTATTACTCGCCTCCGCGATGTACCATCACATGTAAAACTGTTACTAACAACTCACGTCAATAATCCTTTCCACGGCATCAACTGCAAGGTTGGTGAACACCTCTCCAACACCTTTTTCAAAAGCGCTCATATTCACTTCACAAAAGATTTCAACGAGGTAATTTTCCTTCAACTGAAAAACGAGAAAGCATTCCACGAAGTATTAAAGATAAAGCAATTCTTTAAAGAAATTTATAACAAAATATATTCACTTACTCTTTACATGAAACAAGTCTAAAGTTTTATGACGTAAAATACGGTTCGGGTCCTTTTGAATGCGCTCAATCCAACGTAAAGGTCACTTTTAAGCACCACGTGAGTTTCTTACTTACCTGTCTAGCTCGAATGGACAATTCCTCAATCAAGAATTCCCGATAAGCGGTGAAGCCTTGATTTTCATCTGTAACCAAAAGTAACTCACTCCATACCTGGATAAAATAAAAAAATCGAACGCATTGGTTTTCCTTGCATTACTAAAACAATCGAGTCCAAACGTAAAGTAAATTTATTACTCTACGACCACTTCCTATTTTTCCCTGCAAAATAATTCCATTTATGGGGAGGGAGAGAGAAAGAGAGAGAGAGGGGGAGAGAGAGAGAGAGATAGGGGAGGGGTGGTGCAGAAAACTTAAATACCAAAAATTTAGGTGACGGAGGATAACAAGATAATTTGGTTTTATTGAGTTGATAGTTGAGTTGATAATATAAATTAGCCACTGTCAAGAGTTCCTAAGCTGACGTTTCGAGCGTCAGCCTTTTGTGAAAGCGAGTGATGAAGGGCTAACGCTCGAAACGTCAGCTTAGCAACTCTCTACGATGGCTAATTTACATAATTAACTCAGTTTATAAAACCAAACTATCTAAGTTAAAATTAACCTGACAAAAATTTCCTCGCAAGCTACTCAGTGGCGCTTTGCTTCTCAATCAATCTCTGTTACTGATGATCATTATAATCTAGTCCAAGGTGTCCTCCATGCCAGTTGATATTGCCATTATTTCATCTTCAGCAAAAGTTGCCTATACTTCTTATTACTTAATGACGAACGTTCGACACTTTATTTTTTCAGCATTCAAGAAGTTATAAGAACTACTGAAAAGAATATTCAACATATTCCAAGTCAATCGCACTTCGATTGCATATCAAAACCGGCTGCAGAGTTCTCTTAACTCGTTTTAAAACAATCTAGGGCATAAGATTACCTATGTTTTGCGACATCAAAATGGAACTTTTAACAAAATCAGAACTTTTTCATAATTAAAAAACTATTATGGCACACAAAACCCGTCCCCCGATGTAAGTCCCCTCCATATTTGACATAAAAACGCCATTGTTCCTACTGATGGAGCGAAATTTTAACATTTTTCGGTGTTTTATTGATGTTTTTTTTTCTCATATTGCAATTCCTTAAGTTTTAACATACCACGAGTTCATTTGCTAGAGCATCGCGTCGGTAAGCATAGGACATATAGGGAGAAAGATCAATTCTAAACCTTTCTCTGAGGCTCGCTATTAGCGCCTTGATGGCGTCGTTCTCGTTTTTATCCCTTCTCTCCTGATCCACACTCTCATCAACTTCTCGTCTCCGTCTGCAGATGCTTGCAAGTAGCAGCCTTATCACTTGGCAAATGCAATCCAGGTTATCCCAAATGGTTAGTTCTTGAAGACAAGTTTCCAACAACCGTGTACACATTAAAACTGTAAACCCAAGAGTCTTCAAGTTGGTGCTACAAAAAGAAATGAAAAATAAAAAGAGAACAAAATTCCCTTTATCGCCGAGATTAATTTTAACTGTTTGATTGAACGGTTTGCCTCGTTAAAGCGATTATTTTCCGTCGTCTATAGACGGGAACAATATAAATTTTGACTTCATTTTCATGTCAAGATTCCAAGCGGAATAATAGCATAGGTAGCCAATGCATTTGCAGAAATTCGGTCCCAACCCATTTATTTGCGTTACCATATGGAACAGATAGAAGAGGTACGAAGGCCAACCTAATAGTACAAAAGACAAATCAGGCCAGCCATGGAAATGGCTAAATTCCGTAGTTACGTTACAAAGGCCAGACTTATACCTACCAAGTTGATTCCTGGGCCACTTCTAGCTGAGAACACATTTGTTTTATGAGCCCCATAACTTCCTTCCGCTGTGGATTGGAAATTGCCGTAAGTGACACATCTTTATAAGACGTACATCAAACTAATTTGTAATGAAAAAAATAGAGATTTGATTTGGGAAAGAAAAAGAGGGCTGATTTTATTTCTCTACGTATCTGATGCTTTTTTAAGACACGATTTCAATCACACAAATTGTTCATTTATCTTTGCCTGAATGTAGCGGAGCGTAATGAAACAAAAGATAAATGGTTTCTTGAATTCCCGAGCACGAGTGCATTTGTCGGCAGTGTGTTTTAAGTGCCGGCGTGAGATTATGGGAAAGAAGTGTGATATGTAAACTAGCAAGTATATATTCGCTGAACAGTAAACAAGTTTCATTGTGGATTTTTACAAGCGGACAGTTAAATTTTGTTCTTTTTTATTTTTTGGTTGGAATCCTGTAATCCATTTCCTCGTAACGATTTTTAGTTGTGCTTTCCTGATGATTGACAGTCATTATAAGTGGTTTTGCTTATTCAATTTACTTTGGCCGCGTCGAACGTATAGAGTTTGTTTGTTTTTTTTGGTGTCTAAACAGTGTAAACAGTTGTTTTTGTCTTGTGATTAGTTGGTTAGTTCAATAAATGAGCTAAGAATTGTCTGCTTATCCCGCACCGCATTTCTGGTTGTCAGTTTTTTGGGTGCGGGGAATTCAAGAAATTGAATTTACTCAGACTAACCCGCAATCTTCATGTTAAGATCCCAAAGAATCCACATTTGGAATGCTATTATGAAAGATGTTATTCGTCTGGACACGTGAGTGGGACAAGGAGAAAAAATCTGAGCTAATGAGGAATGAAACTTCAGATCTTCGGATTCCGCGCTCCGATGCTATTGCTGAGCTTCACAAAACTCTGTGACGAGCCAAGCCATCACTAGATTCACACATGACATGCGTCCAGCATACCGCTAGGATCAGCAATGTCACTTAAGCTATGTAACTCAAACGTTTTCAAAAGTATACTTCCATTCAGAGGAGATCCGTCCTGGTTCTCAAGAAGTCTCTAGGACACAACGGATTTTGAGTGACAATGTAATGCCGTATTAATTTAGATAGTCTTCAATAGATGGCTTACCTTGTAAGGATGCACAAAATTACGGGAACGGGATGTAACTAGGGCAATGCAAACATCACAAATGCTGAATTCTTCTGACACAACAATCTTGTCTAGTTCCCAAACAGGAATGGCGTAAAGGAAGGTTCTCTTAAGCAGAGGGTCAACTTCAAAGGATGGCGTTAGTCGAAGATAGAGATCCGGAAAATTCCTACGACAAAAATGAAGAAAAGCTATTACCATGACTCACGCATGCTCCTCCACTTTGCAATGTTTCATACATCGTTGAAATATCTATTGACACTTAGCGCGAAGCAACTTCCGTGTTCATATTCAAGTAAGGTCGGGTTTACTCCAACAACAGAAATAGTACTAAGGTTTAGCAGTCTACTGATTAATATTTTTACAACAATTCTTCGCGATAGCGTTTCCTTACCTATAAAAAGCAGAAATATGGTCAATAACAGACACTAATAGAGACGAAAGCATGCAATGTAATTTAAGCAGATTAATTCCCATTGGATTGTTTTCATTATAATTCAGTAACTAAGTACATTTCTGTTGCTGATCTTCGAAATTCTTCAATGTTCAGATTCTGCGCTCCAAACCACTCTGATCTGTGGTAAGATCCTTCAACATCAGGCTCTTCGAATGGCTTTGAATCTCCTCTCAAGAAATGGAGTAGTGGCATAGCAAACAGCCAATCCTCTTCAACTGGCTTCCGTGCGCGCTCAAAGATATTATTGCAAAGTTCCTCAATTCCATCAGCAGCAAATCTAGATCGAACAGGAATAACACAAAGGAAAATATTTTTTCAAGCAGTACTTGTACAGGAAATCAAATGATTTAGGGTTCAATTCGGAATAAGTAAACACGAGAATTCGAAGACCAACAAAATTGAAAGAGCTCGCACGGTTCGTTTAATTTGTAGTAAAAGGTTCACGAAAGCATAATTGCACGAGAAAAAAAAAGTGATTTATTATCTCTAATACATATGAAAGAAACATTTGAGGTAGCTTTTCATAATCACGCAGAGCGCGTACATCAAATTTGTATATTTCTTAAATAAAGTTACTTACTTTCTTAGGCCCTCACTAAACTCTTCCAGAACGACTTCGTATATGGTACATTTTTTCTCTGTAGGATCTGCTTGAAGCGACAAACAACCTAAAAGTGTGAGTATGTGTTCCCTTGGAAGGTTTAGTTTGTATTTCTCGACAAGTATCACAATTGCCAGAGACGAAACCAATGCTGAAGCTCTGGTTTTCAAATTCATTTCACTCTGGGACAATATATCAGCGTTTTCCTTCAACTTAGGTTCCAAGACGTCCATCAAAACCTTAGCAAAGAAATTAAAGAAAAACGTGTTTTCCTACATTGCCATCACTGCAAGAACATAATTCTGTCTTCTGACAGTACCAAAATGCCTATGACTTGAAACAATTCTGAAGTAACCTTGGAATCTGATTAAATTTAATAAACACCCCAATCAACCACCCATTACAAAAACGTTAACACTTAAAATACCATGGGCGAAGAGACCGAATAGCCCTATTGGTATACACTTACGAGATAAGCTCAGAAGTGTATGGTGAATAATGGATGCTATCCACTTTTTGAGAGAAAATAATTATCATCTCGAAGATTTGACATGGAAAAAGAGAAAAACTGAAACTCCCGGGTTCATCGTTTGCGGTTCATGCATTTTACGTGTCGAAGTTTATGCAATCGATTGTATACCATCAGATATCAAGGTTAGAGTTTTAAAATTTCACTTTACCGTGTTTATATTGAAGTAAGCCGGATGCATCTTTTCAGGAGTAAAGCCACCCTCCTTAATCCAAGTGTTTGTCAGACCGTCAGCAACTTTCCTTAGCTCCACAAACGCCTCTGTTGCATTCATTTCATGTCCAGCCCCACTAGCAAGAAAACCTTTCCACTTTGGCAGGTATGCATGCATAGCTGCTGTGCGATTTTCCACCGTTTCTTCCCTACGAAAATAATCGTAAAAATTTTCCCACCAGCTCTTCTCCTTGTAAATGTAGCTCACTCCATCAAATTGGTGCCATACCTCTAGATAAACAAAAACGAAAATGAAAAAAAATTATTACTGGAAATCATCATCATCATCATTGTTATCTTTATTACCATCAGCGCAAAATGTATAGTATTAAAAATAATAATAAAAAATAACAAAAATTCTCAAATGGGAGCAAAGCTTTAAAGGGATGCAACAATAAGAAGCCGGTATTATCCTACATCTTATCTAGTTAGTATAGCCTTCGAAAATGTCATCATTGTTATCACCACTATCATTATTATCATCATCGTTATTATTATCGTTATCATTGTTGTTATCTTTATTTTCATCAACAACCTACTTCTTCCATCCTTCATCTTATCAATCCTCCCCACCCCTCTAACCTTTTATCACACCCTTTCATCCTCTCGAAAATCCTCTGCCATGAGTTTCATTGACCATAAACTGTTCTGGCTCTTAAGGTGTGTTGGAGTAGGCAACCACCCCAATTAATGAAATAGCCACCTACTTTGTCAAGTAAAACCTAAGTACCTAAATTTTTCATTTCATGTAAAAATCTTAGCCACAGCTACACCTCTATTTTGGGACACTTCCATTCAAAAAACCTTCCTTTTGGTAAGAAAAAGGGAAGCCTGATAATAATTTTAGGCTACGTGAGTGGTAGTATTTGAAAGTACAGGAGGTGGAGCCGCATGAAACGAACGGCACAGCTTACAATCCTCTCGAGGCCCATCGCTCCGTGATCCAACAAAATACTAAGCAAGACCATGAAAAGATTGGTTAATCCATCACTGCTATTGAAGGGAGCTATGAGAGAGGGGGAGTGCAGATTTCAAAAAGCAGCACGGAACAAAGAAGTCTAATTCTGTAAACTTACCTCCAGGTTTAAGATACTCTTCTGGAATGCGAAGAAAGCGATAGACTATTGCTCCGCGTTTTGGTTGAAACTCAGTCAGACATTCATAGCGAACATCTCCTTTGTTAATGACTGCGTATTTGTAAAAGGTTCCTTTCCGGGCTAGATTGATACTTAGAGTAAATTGACCCTTGAAACGCATAAGCTCCTTCTGGTCTTTTCGTTTGGCATTCCTTTAAAACAAAAGAGAAATAAACTATTTTTCAGAAATTCATTGCGCAGGATGCCACGACACATCCTGGTTTGTCAAGACTTACTAGCGGTAAATACCACGTTCACTTAACGCAGCAAGAATACTTAACGACATATTCAGACAGCTTTGTGTGCTACAAAGCGCAAGCATTTCAGATGCAACAGTTTCTGTGAACTGGAAGTATTTTATTAAATGGTGACCAAAATACAGCTGCTGGGAATCATTTGAGTGCCAGGAAAAATATGGCTTGACTGCTTTCCGGTGTACTTCCGATACCTTCACCAATTGGGGCATTTCTCAACAACGAGTGATACAAAATCATTTCATAAAGCAAACATCCAATGGAGTTGCCCTTCAAGCCGAGATGAAAGATTGTTGTAAATTCTTAAAGACGTTTGTACGTCCTTTTTCTGATTTTGCTAGTGCATAGAAAGATCACACCGCCGTCCCAACCAATAGATATAAAATCAAAATCAATCCCAACTTGGTACTCAAGTTTTCAGGAAGTTTGCTTGTTTTCATCTTGAGTACCCAATGGCTCTGTTATACATACCTCTATTCTGATAGGTCAACATGATTACTTTTTTTTTATGGTTTACAACTCTCAACCGAAAAATATCCCAATCAAAAATTCGGTGTATTCCTCATCTCATTTTCTTTGAAACAGAGTAATAAGAACTTAAAATGGCTCTCTGGGCCATACAAGAATTACCAGTTTCGATAGGCTTTGATGCACCAGGAAGATTGGGTGAAAGTTCAAGGTAATGGTTATGTAGAGTTTATAAATTAACTTTATATGACGAGTCAAGAAAACATATTTTAGTAATAGAGAAATAATATGAGAGAAACTTACCCTACAAATTCCAGGTCAACGCAGTTTAAGTTAAAGTTTCCTAAGTCGTCTCCATTGGCTCGTATGTGCAGGTATTCCCCTTCCATTTTAAAGTTAGACGCTAATAGAACATGGAACACTACAGTAATCCCAGCTTCTGGTTCTACTTGCTTAAAACTGGTTGACGGTGTTGACCTTTCCAGGGAAAAAATCAAGATAATAGATTGGTGGTCTTTACTGTAAGCTGCTTTTTTTTTTGTTTGGGACCATTTTGACTCAGTGCTTATTAAATCACTTTAACTACTGATGTCCTCTATCTAGAATCCATTCCATTGTATATCTATTTATTTATTTAACCCTTTATAATCACTTTTCTCATTAGATATTTAACTGCCCTCTCAAACTTACGTAAAGTGTGGGTTACTAGCTGTGTCAATATTTCCACCTTTATTCTTTCCTTCACCTCTTCGTTGGGTTGAGGCGCTATCTGTATGTGTTTTACTCTTACTCTCTTGATACAGTTTTCCACTCCTTGTTCCAGCAGTCTAGAAAAATTAGAGACACTTATTTAAATTGTTTTGATTGCTTTAATTGTTGACCAATCTACAAATCATACAAAACTCTAATTATAGGCATCATCAGTGTTTAACTTTCTATCAGGAAAATCTTGAGCGCTTCATTCATGAAATGTCCTTCCGTTATAAACAAATGGCCAACACTGTCGAGTGCTACAAAATCAAATCCGACTAGATTTTTCAGTTCCGCAAAAGTTATTGTTAGAGAGCTTCAGAAGTTTGTTTTCGCAAATTCTTCTTTTGACCTAATGTTCGATCTAAAGAATGAGTTGAATTGATGGAGTCCCTAAAGAAAGAGGTTTATCATCTGAGAATGTCAATCTAAAGTTCTAAAATAAGGCAACATAATGACGGATGGTGCAGACATTAGTTTTGTTAGCAAAAACGACTTTGAAAAAGAATGGAAATGATACGTGTACCTCTTAAGTAAGAGTTTCAGTTTGGACGTTTGGGAGTAAACGATTCCGTTTAACCTTAGTGGAAATGAACTTTTAAGTAACAGGTTGTTGGTGGTATGATTAGATTCATTTAAAAATGGATTCTAACTAACTTGCTTGTCCCTCTGTGCCAAATTTTCTCTCAGTGTTTTACATACATTTAAAAACTTTCCCCCAAAACATATTTCTCCCTTCTTTTCATACATATTATCATGAAATACCTCTGCACTATCTCTGGAATCATCAATGTTCCTTTTGTCACTTGGAGGATGCGATACAACAAGTTCTTTCCGCTCAGCGGACGACTTGATCAGAACAGTGGTCTCAAATTATTAGGGGTATCCCTTTCAATTCAAACTGTGTATGTACAATCTGCTGCACATTGGAGTGCCAATTGTCTTACAAATATAAAGCAATCCCCTTGGTTTACCTCAATTTCAAGGCGGTTATTGTATAAAAAAATATTAGAGAATCTATCCTAAGACAATACAGTCACAAGAAAGGTGAAGTTTGATGCTGCATTGCAAGTGTAAGTGAGGACAGCAGAGAGGACAGGTCATGCAAGAGAGAAGGAGTGCAAAAAGAGTATGCACAGCATTACAGATGACGATCCTGCATTCAAATATATATACAGCCATTAAATTGGTCACTTTTCATCACATGATAACCTGGTGTTTCTCAAAAATAAATCATGGCGTTCCCATAATTCTGTTCTTTAAATGGAACTAGTTTTAAAAGAAGGCATTAATTTCTGCCCAAATGTCTAAAGGGGAAACCAAAAAGAAGGTATTTCATGCATCAGTTTCTTTTTTTCAGCGCTTCTCTTCATGCAGTTAAATTGTGCTTCATTCACTCACCTTTCTCTCTCTCCACTGACTTAGATGTCCAAAACAAATTACACCTGTTCTGCGTGCTTAAAACAGGAGTTTTTTCTACAGAATGATTTAACCCTTTAACTCCTATGAGTGACCAAGAGAGAATTTCTCCTTACAGGGTCTGAATGCAATATCAAGCAGACAAGTGATGAGAAGAATTGTATGGCAGATAGCAAGGAAAATTACTTGTGAGATCTTGGGAGTGAAAGGGTTAAACTTAATTGATAGTGTAAGGTCTTTTTGATTCAGGTTGCAAATTAATACATCATAACTATTATAAATGTCAAAGTATGAGAGTTATAATTTAAGGGTGATAAGTAGAGTTTTAGGTTGACATGGATTAGCTGTTTTACCTTCAAGGCAATGTCCTCTCTTTGTCTTTCACCTGTTTTGGCCCTTCCAGGTGTGTTAGTAACTGCTGCAGAACCTGCTTCGGTTGCTAGTTCTTCATCCCCTCCAAAGTCCTTGTTATCTGGATCAGTGGTGGTTAGAGTCCCTTCTGATAAATGATCACTTTTTGATGATGTCCTCAGGCTTTCTTGAGCTGCAGCTTCTTCCCATTGAACAGGGGAAGTACTGAGGTCATTTTTGGGCACCTGCATCGGTTCTAGTAGTTGGTGGAAAGAGGACTTCTCTTGTGTTATATTTGTATTTGTCCCATTCTGTTGCAGACTTTCACCTGAAGGTAAAAAGTTAAACATGCAATCATCAATGGGATTTGAAAAAAGATACTTTCACAAAATATACTTTGCATAAGGTGTGTTAATCAAATTCATTAAAGAGCAAACATTTTTGGCTAGATTTTGTTATGATTCCCTAAAGACAAAACCAGAATAAGAATTTACTACATTATTGCTAAAAAAAAATGCCTGCCATCACGTAAGAAATTCAAGCAGAGGTTGCTGAAATTAGGGCTCAACAAAACTAAACTGCTTCAGTATCAAATAATATTTATGACTCAAGTTCAGACCTTCTGGAAAATTTTGGAGGCCAATCACCCCCCAGTTTCTTATCACTATAATAATATTGATAACAAATAAAAGAACTTTACTAAGATATTCATAGTAAAAGTGATGAGATAATACAGACAACTAGTTGATGACCAACATGAACTGTGTCCACTTAACTGGCAGATTTAAGGTCACTTTTTAACAATATTTGACAGTGATGGCTTCTTTCCAAAAGGACAAATTTAAGCTGCTTGTACCTCACAGAAGCATTCCTTCAATATTGGCCAAATCACCTTCAAGCACGGAAATCAGTCTTGTTCCTTAGAAGCACTTTCAACATGTTTCAGCTGTCTCAAGAATTTTATGCTCTAAAAAAAATCACTGGAATTTCTGGAGAATTTTTCTTTGTTTGTTCATATTATACATAATTTCTTTTCTTTGACAACACAACTTCGCATTTTATTGCACTACAATTATCTTACAAAAACTTTCTGCATGAATGTAACCAAGTCTCTAAAATTTTGCTGCACAAATGTTTGGGTACTTGGACAGAAGATCCCCTCCTGTGAGGCTATAGTCTGATTAATAACAAAAGCTATAAGCTAAGAGGCATGCAGCCCCAACTCTTAGCCCTTTCACTCCCATGAGTGACCAATTTTCAGTTTCCCCTTACAATATCAACACAATATCAGATAAGTGACAAGAATAAAGAAAAATATCAATTTGGGGATAATTAGTTGAGCCAGTGCTAAATTCTCTAAACTAACTTTATAAGTATGGTTGACAGCGAGGAGAATGACAAATTTTATCTGGGAGTTAAAGGGTTAATGATTTAAAAGGAGTACAGAAACAACAACATATAGGTGAGAAAAGCTATGATAGTAAAAAGTAACTGCAACTGCAATTACCCTTACCCTAAGGGCCAAACTGAGTGTCTCAATAGGCCACTTCCAAGTTCTTATTGTTCAGTGATCTGGTACCGCAATTACGGCACGAGGACAAGGCTAAGTGCAAAGTCATTCTCTTTGGTATGAAGAGTAAAATGTTGTGGTGGTGAAATTGAAAGAAAATTTCTCGAAATTCAGTGTGGGAGAGTGAAAAATTATCTGTGGGAGAGAGGCATTCAGCTAGGTGATGGTGGCAAAGGAAAGAAAAAAGCAGAACTATTCGATTTATGCAAGAAAGCTGCAACAATGAAGCAGATCCAACTAGCTGCCTCTGCTGAAGACTGCAAGAGCTGTTGAAGGAGAAATTACAAACAAGTTGGGGAAAATTTCTAGTTCCTATATATAGTTTGGATGCTAACAGAAGCACAATTATAACCTATGCAACTTTCCACAGTTTTCATTTGGCGTCCATGTGCAGCCTGGCCAAGCCTGGCCCATGTTTCTTATTGTCTGATTTGTATAGCAAGGACTTACTGTAATTTGTGAAATGATCTGTACGATAGGAATTGGAAATCTTTTACTCGCAAAATGAGCTCAAAATCTATAATTAGCAAAATTGCAAAATAAAAATCTGTAATTTACAAAACGAGAATCCATAAGGTAAACTCCACTGGCCAGAAGGACAAATCAGTCAGTTTGTCACTAGCATAGATTGCAAACACAACTTAGCATACAATATTAATTAACTATAAATAACATTTGAAACCTGTACTAAACATTTTTCAGATTTGATTCCATCTTTGAATATTTTTGTTGTAAATAAAGGCAATGGCAAGAGATAGCTTGTATGTTTTCCTGCTAAGGAGGAATGCTTGACATTTCTAGTATAAGTAAAATGTCAAGTCACGCATTTGAATTATTCATCATAATCACCCTGATAGTGAACTGAGCATTTCATTCTTGCCGTTGGTGGCCTTAAGTTTTTTGCAATTCTATCGATTGATGTAGTACCCTAGCGAACTGAATTCCCAGTTTTCTGGGAATTCTGAGGAATTCTAAAAAATTCCAATTATGCAAATAACCCTTGCCAACTGAATTCCCAGTTTTCTGGGAATTCCTAGGAATTATCAAAAATTCCCAACTATGCAAATAAGCTCTGATTTGAAAAGCTTGGAATTACTGGGAATTTCTGGGAAAGGAAGACTCCAGTTTTGTGAGGACTTGGACCCTTGCAAACTAAATTCCCAGCTTTGTGGGAATTCTTGGGAATTCCTAGGAATTCTCAAAAATTCCCAACTATGCATATTAACTCTGATTTAAAAAGCTTGGAATTACTGGGAATTTCTGGGAAAGGAAGACTCCAGTTTTGTGAGGACTTGGAATCCCTAGGAATTCCTAGGAATTCTGAGCTTTACAAACTACCTATAATTTAAGCAGTGTGGAACTCTTGGGAATTTCTGGGAATTGAATTTGAGGCAATTTTAATACCCTGAGGTCCACATAAATTCTAAGAAAGTCTCAATACCTTGAATGTGAAGGTTTTAAGAAAAGGAGTAATTTCAGAGGCTTAAAACTTTGGCTCAATAAAAGGTATGCTATTCAAAACGTACCAAGAGATATACATACATGTATATGTTTATAACTTAAAGATCATGAAATTTATTATTCAAACTAAGTTTTAGTAAACCTTTACATTAATATGGATTTTCTCATGAACCAGCTGTCAGTTATGTTAAATGGAAATTGCCAATTAATCCAATGTACTCATATCACAGATTTGCTTTCAAACCTAAAAAGGACTCTTGGATTCCATGATCAAAAAATATTTTATTTTTATTGTGATGCAAATTAATGTCTCATGTTCACTGATGTGCCAAAATCATCAAACATTCATTGGCTGTTCCTTGGTACACAACTTCCACAATAATTAATAATAATTACATTGTTATCTACACTTAAAGAACTTTGTTAGTTATGAACATAAGTTACTTCCCTAACCTACATTACTGGTTACCTTTGTTAGAAAACCTTGGAACAGTCAAGCTCAGTTGCCTCAAACACTGTCAGACTTTTTGTTGACAATTTTTAGTAGAAATTTCATGCCTTAGACAAACAAATTCAACACCTAATTAATCTTTCTTTTTTCATGATTGTTGTTGCTGTTTATTTTTCAGTTTTTTACTCTGTTTTCGTGACTAATTGCTGTAATTTTTTTGCTGTTTTTATTCTTACAAAACATTTTTGTAAGTTCCAAAACTTGTGGATCATCCCCACACTTTGCAAACATTTGGCATGCAATCTTTGAGAAAAAACACCTTTTAAATGACATCTTCAATTTACTTTATTTGAAACTCTGATCTGAAAATATTTGTCAACAAGACTTCTTAGTAGTGAGAAGTACCAACCAAGTTTCCTTTCATAACTTAATTTCTTAAATGTCCCAATCGCTGGATCTCCCAAAAAATATTATATCGTTTTATTTTTGGAACAAAATACAAATCCTTCTTTACATAAAAATGAAAATTGCAAGTCACACTTCAATAATAACAGCTCTAAAGTTTATTTGTTGTTCTTCTCTATCTGTCAGCTATCAACAAAATTGTTTTATACTTCAGACAGTGCATAACTATTTGTGGACCAGAGTTCCAACGCACCTCTGTAATCGCATATAGTTACTTCTGTCTCTTGTACAAATGTTTCTCCTTTGTAAGACGCACTCTACTCTGTTGTCACTACTGCTTTGAGTTCAGTGGAAACGACTGACTGAGGAATCGAGATGGCGGTGTTGGAACATGTTGCTGAACGCTTGCTACGGTCAAGCTTTGTAGATTTAGGTACTGGTACACTGGGATCATCTATGTATCTCTTATATTTCCTAATGTGGTATCCTTCTTTTATAAATATGAGGGTAAAAGACGATTTGTAGTCGCATTCAAAACTGTGATTGGCTTGTGTTATTTCTCACCTTTGCCATGAACACAAATGAGTTTCGAGTCTTTGTTTCCTCGACAACTTTCGGCCACAAATCGTGCATTTGTAATACGATCGATTCTTGTCGATTCTTTCCACATAGAGTGAGCTCACATCATTATTTATATCACCAAGGTATTCATTGTCTAGAAGCAGGGAACCGGTCGGAGAAGTCAGAATAGTTGTGCGCTTCTCTCAACACTGCAATCGGCAAGCCAGCGGATTCACTTTGCTAGCCAATTACAAGTCCTAAAAGATCCACGTGATCATGCCCGTGATCGGAAACAGAGAAGACTCTATTTGGCACTCATCTTTGAATGTACTTCTCAACGATTGATCGTTTTTCTCAATTGTTTTGCTTAATATAACATTTCTAAAGATAGCTTTTATTGTGGTTCAATGGGAAAACGAGAACAGCGTGAGTGTTGTAAAAGAAAAGAAAGTCGTTGGCGCCGTGGAGTTAAAAGAAAGGACAACAGTTGATATATTGACTGGTACAAACAAGGGTCGAGTGGCCATCTGTAAAGCTACGATTTTGAAAGTTTGTGGTGAGTAAAAATTGCGATATTCGTTACGTGATCAAAATCTTATAAAAGAATAGATGTAGCGTGTTGAATTAAGCTTACATAACGCTCGGCGCAACTGAAACTTAAATAATTCTGAGAATCGAATCGGTCACTTGCATGCCGCAGTTCCTTAAGCTTATGCTTTACAATGAAATAAACCTATCAGTAAGGTTTCAAGATTCCTCTGGTCACGTTTGGGAACATTCAAGATTCATAATAGGAACTGTTATTAAACAAACCTTAATACATAAAGAAGCCCTCCTTGGTAAAAACAAAATAATGTATTCAGCCCTTTTTTAGTAAAAT